TCTATTGAAAGAAGAAGAGTTGTTCTATTGATGGAAAGTGTCCAAATTTCTCCTTGCGCCTTTATTTGCGAACGCGAGGAGAGTTGATGTTAGCAAATTTCGGGTTGAAAATACGGCCATTTTGAGACTCCGACCACGAAAACTGATATTTTAAGTTTCTCGAAAATAAAAGGCTTTTTGCGAGAACAACTTATATCAGATAACTTATCTACCTAAAAGCTATTTACGGACAAAAAATGAAAGAAATCTATTTTTCAACACTTGCCACTCGATGGTCGATATTTCCTGACCGTCGCTCTTAAACACGGTAAATGGCTCAGCCAGCTGGTTTTCAGATATGCCGCGTACAACTTAAAGTTCTAAATAACAATTCTTTTACTAGAGCACAAGAATTTACAATTTTAACTTTTCCTATCGACTCGTATAAAGACCTCTATAAACGAGACTATTTACAGTTTTGTGTTTAGTTAGACTAAAAATACGAATAAAAATAGTAACAATTTGAAATACAATATAATAACAAGAAATGTGTCATTAAAGAAATAAGATAAAAACATAATAGAAAGTTAATTATATTTTTTTATTGCCAGAATTAATTATAGGGCCCTGTAATATAGTTTCCACTTGTCATCATTTCAATTCAACTTTTCCGGCATGAACGTCTCTCATATCTCAAGTCTCTCTCATGATTATTTTATTTTACTTTATTTTTGTTTCAGTATGAAGTTCGAAAGATCTCCTAAATTCTAAACTTCTGCTTACTATAGGTGTATTAGGATTTTCCCGGTCATAAGTAACGCCAAAATGTGTCCAAGAAATCATATCAACGAGTCGCGTCATAAATTTGTTTCAAGGGAAACTGTTCTCAGAGGTTTGACGTAATTATTGGATAATTTTGTATCAGATTCTGCGGATTGATTTGAGAGTAAAGTACTAACTTTGCGTTCAGCTCTCCAGTCCCCCCCCTCGCGTATCCTCAATCTCAGTATTTGACATTGAGGCTTTGCCCAAGCTATATCAGATTAGACTGCAAAACAGTCCGTATTATTGCGTATTCAAATACGCACAAGCAGTCAAACAAAAGGTCTAGAACGAGGCTGAAGACAGAGAGCGAGACCAGGGGGAATCTTACGCCACGCTTTACGGATTTCTTAACTGATTTTGAGAAGAAAAAAAAACGACTGTTTTGCAGTCTAATATCAGATCGATATAGCGCTTGCTTCGGCACAGAAGCCACAACGGTTAGAGCTTTTGTTCACACATAAGAACTGTGATCTTGGCGAGTTTTCTGTAACAAAGCGAAGGTGCACCTCGGCGATCTTGAAAGTGAATTGTGACATATCGGATAATAATAATAATAATAATAATAATAATAAACAATTAAAGTTCTTAAAAACGCATTCTACATATAAATGTCTCGATGCTTTTTACAACAGGTACGTTTTCAGAGCCCTTTTAAAAATATCAACAGAATTACTTTGAATACGTTTCTGTCCCGCTCTTAGCGGAACTGCGGTATTCGCACTGGAACGAAAGTTAATAAGTTGGATTTACTGAGACGGACGAAAGTGAGGATTGGGATTTAGGTCGCCAAACCCTCTAGTCTGGCTACGATGCTCGATGTGTGTAAACAAGTTGTTCCAGTTGTGGGCCGTTTCTGTTCATACCAGGCCGGAATAGTTTTTATAGCGGCATAAAAAGGTATCTGATGCAGCTGCTAAGCTTTTTTCAAGTTCTTCACTCGCGCAATCCGCAAATCTTCGCAGACTCCAATGGATCAAGGGCAACGACCAATCAAAGCACGCGTAGCATTCACAACACTTTAAAAGCTTTTATCGAACATTGTGGTGACCTCAAATTTTTAAAACTCACGTGTGTCAAAATCATATACATCACAGCCAAAGAAACAAAGAGGACAATTGCTGTTTCTGTTTCTAATATTTCCCTGATTTGACTTTTGAATTTCAGTTTCGAAAACAGTGATGGCCGGAAGTTGTATCAGAAAATCTCGCAGTTTTCATTAAAGAACGCTTATGTACTGATATTCTAGATGCAAAAATGTAATTATGTACTTGGAAAACTTACCGGTTGGGGCATTGCCAGCCGGACTGTGGTTCAGTTTACAATTCACCCTTTAAGCTCCAATTAATTTTCGGTTGCAAATTCTCCAAACTGATGTCCTTACATTTTTTGTGAAGAAATAATTTCTCGTAACCTCTCCTCTTGATAACGTATTGATATTGTTTAGAGAAAATTGATTTTGGTGACTTAATTTTGGAACTTGAAAAGGGTTATGGAGGTTGTGAATGGCCCCTGATGTGAATATGAATTTGAGATAGACTTTCTGGATGGTCACTGACAGAGATTTCAGACGTCCCTTTGTCGTCTATATCGGAGAGGATCAGAGAGTCTAATCATCAGCAGATGACAGAGAAAAGAACCTGCCTATGTGTCCAGGCCATGCAGGCAGGAAGAGGGGAATGGCCCCTTCCCCCCCCCCCCCTTTCCCCACCCCCCACTCTTTAAAGGGTGGTACTCAACCACTTCCTCTAAACTTGGCATGTAATAAGATTTTCGGTAAAATAATTACTTTATATCCCCGCTTAAAATTTACTTGCCGAGCAGTAATCTTTGATTAGTACGACTATCTAATATACTTATTTTAAGATTTATTGTAGCTCTGCTATTGATTTTCCCATGTGTAATTATGGTAATATTTTGTTCTAATTATCTAACTGAGGGAACCCATTCCTTATAAGCCCGGTGGCTTCTCTTGGGCTTCCTCGCCATGAGAGTTTAAGTAATTAGATTTTATTTGATTTGCACAATTTTTGGCAAACAAAACAATAAACAATAAACTATAAACAGTATAGGGTGCCCTTCAGGGGCTGTCTACTATTTACATGGGTAAACCGGTCGGTCCACGGTTCAGGCAAATGGTACGCAAAATTCAGGACTGGTAAATTTCCGTCGGGGAATCGCGTTTACCATTTGTACGAATTAGTTCCATTTACCGGAAAATGGCCGCGAAGCACTGAAACTGGTGTCAAAGATGGCTTTGAAGAAATGGAACACGAATTTCTGTTTGGAATATTCCGTCCGGAAAAACAGGACAACCTTTTCAGATGTACGTTCCGTTGCTCCCGGAAATTTTCCTCTGGAACGACCAAAAAAGTCATGTTCCATTTACTTTCCAACCGGATTTTCCGGAATCTTTTTGTAAACAACTAGAATCACAGGCGTACGGGCCGGGGGGGCGAGGGGGGCTGCAGCCCCCCCAAATTTTGGGCAACTCAGATTTTTTGGGCAGCGAGAGAAAATTTGGGCAAAGCCAGTTTTTAAAGACGTCTCCATGTTTATTTAATAATTTAAAAGACCTGAATATTAACCTGAAGTCGGCGTAATAATCCAGTTACATTACATTGGTTGCCTAGCATGTGATAAGTAATTTACATATTTGCAGTTTTTTTTGTTGGGCACTATACTGCTTTGCACTAGCTGGAATGGGCTATTTCCAGTCATGAATTGATTAAAATAAACTTTCGCATAATTTTCTAGAATCATCTCTACTCGAAGAACAGAGTATGGCAGATAGCATTTAGCAATGGGTATGAAAATGAAGAAGAGGCTGACTAATTCTCAGTTTGAATTACGAGAAGAATTTTAATTCTTTTAAAAAATCTATCGAGCGGTTTAAAATTATTCGCTAATTTGTTAAAGTAGACCGAAATGTTTACAAAACCGCTAACAAGAGTGTCTCGATACATACTAATCCAATCCTTCTTTCGATTCTAGCAATCAAGCAGAGCTATCTCCAAGTTCTTTCACACATGTTTTTAAAAAGATTAAAACTACTATGAGGTGAAATTGCAGGTCAAAAGCGCTTCGTTTTCTACAGATAACGGCCAAAAATCAAGATTTTCCTGTTCTTACCGTATTTCTAATAATAAAAACTTCATTGCAAAATATCTCGATAACGCTCTTAAGGTTTTGCTTAAAATTCACGAACATCGAGGCGACCGTATTGGAGAAAAAAAGCTCCTGTGAACGATTTTGTAAGGTTCCCGTGCCGGGAATCATTGCTGAAGTAAAATAGGTAATGGGCGGGGGGAGTCATTTCGTTGCTATGACAACTCCGATCCGATGTCATTGCAACCCTGATGATGACAAATTTTCATCTTAATACAACTGTGGTCGCAATTTTGCCAAATGATTGTTTATGGCGAAGTAGTTTATGCTCAGACTTGGTATTGACCCTGAAAAACCGTATCGAGCCATCTTCATATGCCAGGATGGCCTATGTTGTTGCAATATGGCCCTCATTTCTTTTCGACTCTTTCGTAAAAATTTGGGCAACTTGCGAGATTTTTTTGGGCAAATGGTTTACCGCCCCCCCTGGCAAAAAATTTCCCGTACGCCTATGACTAGAATTTTCGATTTTTTTAGTGCATTCTTAAACTGAAACTTGGCATTCTCTGACAGGACATCCTAAGGGGCAAACGGGTTAACTGACAAGCTGATAGAACTAAGAACTTAAAATCTTGCATATAAAGTAAACATTTTAGTTCTTTTAGACACAGAGTCAATTTAAGAGTCAATTATAGAGTCCTGTAATTTACTTTCCACTTTTGAGTCTGTGAAAGAAGACGGCTGTTGTCGTAATTTCAAACAGACGTATGATTCCTATTTTTATTCTTTTTTTTTTCTTTTTTTTTCAGTATGAAATTAAATTCTATGTTTACTTACTATAAGGATTTTTCCGGTTATAACTAATGCCATAATGTATCCACGAGCTGAGATATTTCAACGAGTCACGTCATAAAAATAGTCCTTCCGTTTCTCTTTGTTTCTTTGAATAATTAAAAAAATAGACTTCTTTCATTTTGTCTGTTTGTTCGCTTAAGTTAGAATTTCGGAAATGGTTCGATGTAACTTAATTAACAAGCCAAACCTATTTAATTTAAGCTGCGTAAAATGTTTTCATTTTCTTTTTGTTTCTTCTCACTTGGTTTTGTCTTCCGTGGTTGCTCAGGATGCCGTTAACCTTTTTTAAAAAAGGAAGCATACGTGGGAACCTTTTTCATAAAAGTTATCATAATTAATTGGAACGTACAACTTAAAGGTAACAATATTTATTGTTTGTGATTATCCATTTAGCTAACCCATGTAGACCACGCCAAAATAAAGAACTTATTCGAAAACATCCTTCAATTTTTTTTAAGGTCTTATATTAATGACGATGCTGAGGAACAACCAGTTTTTTTTTATATATGGGAACATAATAAATAAAACCGATGAGCTGTTATTTCAATTCACACCAAATGGTCATACTGTAGGATTTTATCTAAAGCGTCAAAATTTCAAACCACCTAGTACAATGTAACAAAAAGGAATGGTCGGGACATTTGCCAGCTTTACATGCAGATACTATCTATTTTACTAAGAATTCTTCCTCTCTTCCAACCCCGGCCGCTGGACATCTTTCATAGTGAATTATCGTACATAAGACTTTTTCATGTATTCATTTAATTAATCATTTTCACACAATAAGAAAACTTACAGAGATCATATCCTCCCGGAACAGTAACTTTTTTTAGGATTTTATCCGTAGGCTTAATTCAAGTGTAATTATTATATACTAAGTAAAATATATACGTATGTGGAAGAACTCAACTCGTTCAACCTTGGAATGGAGATGATGTGAACTACGGAAATACTAATTTAAATTTCAACTTTCTTTGATAGGAAATTCATTTAATGTCAAGTAGTTTGGTTCTGACGGAAGGTGCAGCACACTGGACACCGTTCAGCTGGCAAGTAACTATTTTATCTTTTCACCGAAGCCAATCACCTCTAATTATAAACTGAGACCACTTTTTAAGAACCACGTTCTTTCCTCTTCCTTGATACTCAGCTTCCCCGGTGATATAATTTAATTGAAAAACTTTTCAATTCTGTAATTATATCCTTTTACAGCAATCTGAGGCCATAAAAGTTCCCTTTTCATAAAAAGTGCGAGAAGTAACTCGATGCGCTTTCGATTCTTCGTTTTTCTTCTTCAATTTCGGTCAATTAGTTAGCATTTAATGATTTAGATCATCAGTAAGTGAGTGAGATTGATTTCATTTTTATCAAAAGAAAGTTGTCATTTTAAAAGTGAATTCCCAGTTTTTGTGTAAACATCCCGAGGCGTTAATGTAGTTTATTTTTTTAAACAGTTGTCTTCCTATTCTTGGTTTACAGCCAGGTGGCAGGGCAGCCATTCGCCAGTTTAGAAAATACCATAATTATCTTGTTGTCCTCCCCCCAAAAAAAGAATTTGCTCAACCATTGTGAGTTTCAGTTTCTCTTTGGACTTAGAATCGCCCCAAGAGAAAATGACAACAATGGTTATGCAATTTTTTAAGGGGGGGGAAGGGGGGGGGGGGGGGGGACTAAAATATAATTATGGTATTTTCTAAAGTGGCGAATGTTGGTGATCAATACAACAAACCAAGTTATGAAGAATTTACATGGAAATGGCGTTAAGTTCCCAGAGGAGAAAAACACTTTTATTCCAGTGATCACTAACATGGCCACCTTGGCGTCACGTGCAAACCAGCAATTCCGACCGAGGGATCTTGCCCCCCCCCCCTGTCCCCTACTAAAAGTGCACTTCAAAGCCTGTAAGCTATGACTGCCAAACCTAGCGACTCATCATAAAATTTATCTGGGAACATCTTAAAGTCGTCGTGACGTGTGCGTCAACATTGACTTGACCACGAAAACCGAGTTTTGACAGTCATGTTTCAAAATTTGCATTTTTTTCTATTAAAAAGGGTGTTCAGTTTATATTTTTTCTTCTTGCCTTCGCTAACGGCCTGAAAAACGCATAAAAATAACACCTCTTTGTCATGCTATCACTCAAAGCAAGGGCTTTCCTTGAGGGTTTGCATGTTCTATGTGCTGCTTCTGCCGCTATTTTGCAAAATAAATGACGGCCACAAGGCTCCTAAAATGACTCAATTAAGGCAAACAATAAGTTTTAACAGTCACATTTTCCATGCAATGACGCAATCATGCGTTGCATGGGAAACAAGTTTAAAACTTTCTTGGATCTTGACTTTTCCTTGCGGACTCTTGAGCAGAAATTCCGACGTACACAGATCAGATGAAATACTAGAGAGCTTTGGATTCTAAGACGACGACGACGACCATACGAGGACGAGATTTTCTCAATACTAAGGTCACTAAGCCGCGCGCGCGCGAATCAACGTCTTTTTGGCCGAAAAATGTGATAGCTATCGTCATTCTACTGAGAGTTTTAGCGAGAATGTCGTAGTGGCGAAAACAAGACATTAGTTTTCAAATGTTGAGAATTTTATCATTTAGCGATAGGGAGAGGGCTTTAGCTCCTTCAACAGAAATTAATAAGTGTGTACTAACTTTTGTGGTTAAAAAAGGAACAATGAAGCGGCGGGGTGTCTATTCGTGTAGAGAATAGGCAAGAAAACGCACAAAATTAAATTTTGCACTGGTTAAAAAGTGGCAGGGAAAAAACAAAACAGAAGACTGCCGATCCGGTAAATTTACTAAGAAAAAAATTGCTTTCTTGCTCCATCTACATAATTACGAAATCTCGAATGACGCGCGTGTTAAGTCTATTTGAGCGTTGATGTAAATTAAAGTTGAAACATTTTTTACTTGAAATTAACATTGGTGACATAGTAATTTAGTTTTATTGTTTTACTCAAGTACTTATTCAGTCAACATTTAGTAATGGTAAACAATGTCGAAATGCTGCGCATACATAACTTTGAAGTGAAAGTCAGTACCGCGCCAAGGCTGATCTGGCCTGATCTGACTCCCTGCCCGCAGAATCATTGCGGCAGTAACTAACTAAAGGCAAGAACGTTCAGTAATTCACCTGGAATTTAACCCAGGTCAGTCTCTACCATCGAAGGTTAGTACCATGTATTTTTCGCAATACACCGTATTCACAAATGGCGGACACGCGGGAAAAAACTGGTGCTTATGCATCGGTCAAATCGAAGCTTCAACATGCCCCCCCGGGCATACCCCGGGCATTTGACACCTTTGCCGTCCCGGGGAGGAGGGAATTTGACTATCAGAGTCTTCCAGGGGGTGGGGAATTTGATCCCCATGCTTTAGGGGTGGGGAATTTGAACTGAACCCTCGATTTCATGTAAAATCTTTGGCGTGGCGAGCTATCATGGGGGACGCGGGGGGACGCTTTGTGCTGTATTTGAAGTATTTAAATTTTTAAATATTTAACACTGGATTCAGGCTTTGAATGTATGAATGTATTTTATTGTTGTGTTTTATACAATGAAATACAATACCTATACCGGCGATTCAATACAACAACATAAAATAAAATAAAATAAAAAGCTCAGGTCAACTACTTTGACCTACTGCAAGTATGTTAGTTAATAAGGTGAGCGATGCATATCAGCGAAATGGTCATGATGTAGTAATCTTAATAGATGGGGTCTTTTTTTATAGAACGCTTTGAGCATTCAGTGACCTTGTAGCAGCGATTTCCGCCGCTTTCCACGAGACTTTTGTTCTTAGTAAATACGCTAACAGTGTTTCTCAGTTTTGTTATATTTATAAAGATTTTGTTCGACAACTGAAGGCTTTTCCGCCGTCCCTCTGTCAGTTTTGTGCCTGTGAAACGTCCCCGGGATGGGGGCATTTGATCACCTGAATGGACCATAGTGTGGGGCATTTGAACGGCATTTTGGCCCGGGTATGGGGGAATTTGAACAATAATTTTCAAAAAAGCCAAATGCCCGGGGGGTTGCCCGGGGGGGGGGGAGCATGTTGAAGCTTCGATTTGACCGATACATTAGTCATGAAAGCGAGGCGTTGGAGGGTAAACAAAAATTGCAAATGAAGACTTTCAGTGAATTTACAGAGTGTTTAGCACGGATTCCACCTACTTTGTACGGACTTCTTTTTAAATACAATTACGTGGGATGTCTTCTGCTTTTAATGTTTAGTATTGATTTGCTGTTTGCAATCAAAAGGGACGCGTATATCTTCAAGGAAACAGGATGATTTTGTAGGTTTCCGAAGCATCAGAAGCTCGACAAGTGGGCGATGGCTGGAGACAAGCGGCAAACATGTTGGCCCAAACTTCACATTGAAACCGAGTTCGAAAGCGAGCTCACTGCAATTCGGTAAAACAGAAATATAAACAATGCAAATCTTGGTGGCAAGAAAAAAAGAAATAAGCGATGGATATATGGCCTATTTGTTAACGCAAGAGACGTGTGCCATTGAACAAAACAGTTCAAATCGTGATGGAAAAAAGGAAGACAGGAAAGAAGCGGTGACTGAGGTTTCGATGAAGTTATGTTTATTTGCCAGGACGTTATTCTCTGGTCTTTATCGATGATGAACATCAATTAGAACTATCTTTTTCGTATATAAAATGCAGGAGCGATCGAGTGGAGTACGCTCAAAATTTCAACTTGTTACTCGGCAGACTCGGTAAGCCGGCCACATTTCATTTCAACGAGTAATTTTCCTATTTCTTATCTTTGGCTGTTAAGAGTTTTAACTTCATGTTCCATAATATTTTAAAAGTGAAGAATACATAAATAAATAAAGTGATGGTCTTCTTACACGGATCCAGACTCGCATTTCATGATTCGAAACAGAAGCTTGCCCTTACCAAATCCAACACTGTTTTGAATGTATTATTAAGCTATTTTTGAAAACTGTTTTTAACCTATTTTGTGAAATAGGTTTTAAATAGGGTGAAAAGTGTATTTTTAATGTATTTTTCGACTGCTTTTAAAGGTGTTTTAACCTGTTTAAAATGCTATTAAAAAACAATTTTTAAAGTATTTTAAAATTCGTTTAAAATATAAAAAAATCCCAGGACTTTTGCAAGGCTCAAAACAGGTCTAAAACAGTTTTTAAATACCTTATAAATAGGAATAAAAACAGGATAAAAACAGTTTCAAAAACATATTTTAATTTGCTCTACTATTTTAAAACTATTTTTAATGGCAATTTTAAACGTATTTTGAAAAAAACAGGTTTAAAATAGGTACAAAAATATATTTTTAATATATTTTTCGACTGATTTTAAAGGTGTTTTAATCTGTTTAAAACGCTATTAAAATGTTATGCTTCAAAATATATTTTAATAGCTGTTTAATCGGTCTCGAAATTTAGTAAAATACTCGTATTTGCAAATACAATAAAAATACTTTGAAAATAGTATTAAAATAACTCAGAAGAAGAAAAGCAATATAGCACGCACATATTGTGAAAATACATCAAAAATAGGATGCAAAAATGCAAAAACAGGATAAAATTGTAAGAAAATAGCCTTAGAGTTGTCTGAAAACAGTACAAAAATCGGTCGAAAGAGCATAAAAACAGTACAAAAACAGGATGGAAATACCATTTAAATTCATGAAATAAAATGACTACATAACCGTCGAAAATTACCCTGAAAAAGCAAGATTTACCTCTGCGAAATTTTTCCACACAGTCCTAGGCCAGGACTTCACGAGAATTATCTCTTAGCCGATGACTTTACGTTGATTTCCCTACGTATTCTCGGGAAATTCTTATGGAATTTTTCAGAAATGGTGAAATCAATCTTTAGCCTGTGTACAGACCCCCTCCCCTCAATAAACATCGGAGGGGAGGGGGTCTGTACACAGGCTATCAATCTTCAGCTTCAAAAGGGGTTTGCGTTACTGACGTTACCGGTAAATAATAATCTACATACAAGTAACTTACATTATTTATTATATTCACGGCTTTACTCAAGTATTATCAGAAGCTTGCAGGCTACGCCTGAACATTAATTATTGGCTGATAAAGAACAACATAAGAATAACACCATTAAATTTACGCGAGAATGAAAGAGCGTGACATCAAGTGACTGAGATCATTCATGCAACACAGCCAGGATGAGCAAGGAACCCTGTAAAAACTAAAATTGCCGTACAGGCGGGAGTATATAAATGTTTACTACCCTTTATTTGTTTCTCATATGGCGTATACTTAAGCGTCTTAGTAACATGTTATAATACTCACATGAGAGAAGACTCTTGGATTAACACATAAGACAGCGTGCTTCGAATAGAACCTGAACCAGAACCTTTCAAAGTACATAGCAGTCGCTGATGAGTCATACCCATTTTTGATTCGTGATAAAAGCAACATCTACGTGTTCAGACAATCCGCGGAGTTGAAATGTACTTTGGTAAGATCGTAACAAACAGTAAAATCAAGCGCACCCGCAATCACAGTAACCGCCGGTTCAATAATTTGAAATGAGCAAAGGACAAAGGACGGTTTGTTTATCACGTGCATTTGTCACATCACCGCGGCGCGAAGTCGTGATTTCAGTCGCGCGTGGCATCTCAGAAATAATATGCTATGCATGTACGGAATAATCTATGAGAGAAAGATAACCATATGTCGGAGTTATTCAGATCTGAGCTTATAATTGTTTCTTGATGCAATATATACGAGGTGAGATTTTAGCTTGGATAATTTATTTATTGTGTAATTTCAAGGGCTTATTTTAGATAAACCTCTGTTGACCGCGTGCATCCGGTTCTCGGCCCGCGGGCTCGGCTGTTTGTGAAAAATTCCCATTAAAATGAGATTTTAAGAAGTTTCTTTTTAAAAAAACTTATGGAATGCCGTAACTGCATTAATTGAATCACGGCTAAAATCTACGAGGAGATTTTCGCAGAGAGCTTGCAGGCAATGAACATTGAGGAACGGATTGATCTCTTATCGGCACACTGTCACAGTCAGGTGTTGTCAGTCAAAGCTAAAATCTATTCCTAACTTTCTTCTCTTTTTTTATTTAATTTAGATTTAATTTTTCGCTCAGCTTCGAACTTTGTTGAGAAGAGAATCCGGTCTACAATATGTGACAGCTTGTGTTGAGTCATTTATGAGTTCGTGATACTATATGAAGGCTTAAAAATTAACTTTGTACAATTGTTACTTTTATAGTCTGAGTATCCCAAAGTACATTACAATATCGCACCTCAGTAATAATAAGTAATAAGTACTTTAAAGTATTTAAAGTAAGGTCAGCATTTGATGTCTTTAAGCAGACTTAAAATAGTTTATGTATATCCGTTTTTATAGTCAGAGTGTTGTGTGCCCAAACTACAATTCAAATATACCTCAAAACAGTGTTTAAGTACCCTATTTAAAAGTATTTAAAGTGCGGTCAGTTCTTAAGGTTTTAAAACATATTTCAAATAGTCTATTTGAACTCTGTTTGTAACTTTTTGAGTGGATGAGTCTCAAAATACATTTTAGATACAACTCAAAACAGTGTTAAAGTACCCTATTTAAAAGGATTTAAAATACGGTCAGCATTTAGGCTCTTAAAACATATTTCAAATAGTCTATTTGAACTATGTTTGTAACTTTGTGAGTGGATGCGTCTCAAACTACATTTTAGATACAACTCAAAACAGTGTTAAAGTACCCTATTTAAAAGTTTTTAAATACAGTCAGCATAAAAGCCGTTAAAACAGATTTCAAATAGTCTATTTGAACTCTGTTTGTAACGGTGTTAGTGGTTCTATGCCCAAAATACATTTTAAATATCCTATTTTAATCATATTTATTAAACAAAATACATTGTAAATTGATGAGAGAGGTTTTCGTTTTCATGAAATACAATTTAACTACACTCAAGATATATTTCAAACAGGGGCGAAAATTTAAATTTCTTTGTCAAACAGGATTAAAATACAGTAAAATAGTGTTCAAATACTGAAAATACATTTTAAATACTTTAAAATCAGTTTCAAAATACATATGGTTTGGTAAGGGTGTCGTGTTCAGTTCTGACACAAACATTGCCTTAAAAGTTTAACCTAGTAAAATGTGAGCTTTATACCACTTTTTTACCAAGAGCTCTCCGAGATGATGCCGTAAAGGAGACCAGGCAAATGGCAAGCCATAAGATTCACACACAAGAGCTTCTAGTTTTGATAAAATTATTTTATTTCGCAATGACAAAGAAATCAAAAGATTTAGTAAATTTGCACTGAATTTGCTAAACTCTGCCAACGTACCTTTAACAATTCAATCCAAAGCGACGGAATTAATGTCATCCAAAGGAAGTTGTAAATACAGACATACATAGATATGTGTAAAATGACACTGACATGAATGAATGAGTCTCGTAAATGAATCTTTCACCCGCTCTCGACTTGACCTGTTTTGAGTAATGGCGGAGGTCTCTTCAGTTGACAAGTAGGCCATATATCCGTCGCTTATTTTACTTCTGTTTTACAGAATTGCAGTGAGCTGGCTTTCGTATTCGGTTTCAGCGTGAAGTTTGGGCCAACATATTTGCCGCTTTTCTTCAGCCATCCGCCCAGTTGTCGAGCTTCTGAGGCTTTGGCATCCTACAAAATCATCTTGTTTCCTTGAAAATATACGCGTCCCTTTTGATTGCAAACAGCAAATCTGTACTAAACATTAAAAGCAGAAGACGTTCCATGTCATTGTATTTAAAAAGACGTCCATATATTAGGTGGAATCCGTGCTAAACACTCTGCAAGTTCACTGAAAGTCTTCGTTTGCAATTTTTGTTTACCCTCCAACGCCTCGCTTTCATGACTAGGCACCAGTTTTTTCCCGCGTGTCCGCCATTTGTGAATACGGTGTATAAACTTTCTTAAACTTCAACCGTTATTTAATTACATTTTGTCGCGATGATATCAGACGAGTGTTCGCATCATTCGACATGACAAGTTCCACTTAACCAAGAAAAGTTTTGTTCAAAGACGTAATCCAAACAGAAAAGGGGACTATAAAGAATAGCTACCAGGATCTTGGTAACAAGTTGTTGCTTGTGATGGACTGTGTGTGACTGCGAGATGCGGTTCGCAAGTCCAACCCACAAAAAATGACCCTTGCTCGCCAACGAGTCCTCAGTAGCTCAGACGGTTAGAGCATCCCATCTAGAACACGGAGGGTCGTGGGTTCGAATCCCATCTGGGGCTCAGATTTTTTCTGTGGCCTCTTATGGTTGATTCTTTACATCTCCCTTTATTCCCTTTAGAATGAACAACAGAAGTTTATTACGAAAAAAAATACCTGGCAAAATTTATCAGTTACTCAGGGTCGGTAAGGTGGGGAGAGTTAAGTTGGGATAGAGACTATGAAAACTCATTTATGGGCAATATAATGGTGCCCCTACAAAGCAAGGAATGGGCTTGTTTATTATTATTAGTTATCATTATTATCTATATCATGCTTTGAGTTTATCCCTGGCTTGAATCTTCCAGCGTCAAAACCAGAAACTTTTAATTTTATATTCATATTTCAAGAAATTTTATATTAATTTGTAGTCTTTATAGGTTTCGCGAGGCCTGCGTCAGTTCTGATCGCTGGGCCTGAGTGGAGGTTATAAAAATAAAGCTGTCTTTGCGGACCAAAGTCAATAATCGACTTGGACTGGACTTGAGGACCACTCAGTTTTCTGAGCAAATAAGGAGAACTGTGCCTCAGTTGAATTTTCCGCCAAATTTCAATGGTAACGTTATTCGCGGATCGTGGCCTGTTCCAGGCTCTACGATAGTGGGGAAACGCGAAAGTGAAAGGCAAGCAAAAAGTCGGCCGTGCGGGGAAAAGTTTCTTCCAGTTTTATTTTCGTGTTCGCGCTTTCTCGATTCAGCGGACTCCACTCAGTCTCAAATCCTGGAACAGGCTACAATCTTGGAGAAAATCAAATGGAACAGCAAACCCCCATCCCCCTCAAATCAAGGATGAAGCCGCGCGCCGGATGAGGGCAAAAACGCGCCATTTTCCCATCCTTGATTTGGGGGGGGGGGGGGGGGGGGTCTAGGTTTTCCATTTATTTTGTCCAAGATTGTACGGCGGCGACTCGTGGCCTGCGAGCTTGACGCAGACAGCTTACTTGCAGGCAAACTACTTATAAAATTAAATCTCGCCTATATCCTTTTGTTGCTCTTCATGAACTTCCTCGCTTTTCTCTTTTAACTGATTACAGTCGAACCTCTCCACAAGGGCCCGGACAAAATAAAGAAGCCGTTGTGGAGAGTTGGTCGTTACTGGAGGTTTGACTGTAGTTCTCTTATAGGGAGAACTCTGCACTCTACTAACTCTACAAACCAAACTTCAAACAGATCAAAACCGCTAGGGAAAACTGAAAACGTTTTTGTAAGGCCGCACAATAGTGAGAGTAGTACTCCTAGGGGAGTGGGCTATCTTGCAGCGAAAAACTCGCGTGAGCTGTTAGCTTAAGCGTGACAATCTTCTGAATCTTGGACTTGGATATCAAACCCCCGTCACCCCGAAATCAAGGATGAACGCCAACACGTACCGATTTTCTTATCTTTGACTTGCGGGGGACGCGGGGTCTTTTAATTTTCCATTTGCACTCTATCAAGATACCATGAATTAATTTAATTCACTCGAGAGAGAACGAAAACTCCGAGAAAACTCTGATCCACGTCACACCACGTACCGATTGTGTGTCGATCTTTTTTTTCCTTCTTTTATCTTTTTCACCCAATGCGGAGTCTGGTCCTAGGAATTCAAATCGTTTGAGAAAGAGGCTGTAATCATCACAAAGCATCAGGATCATAAGTGCGGGGAGCACAAGTATCCCAAACTCACTAAACCAGCGCATGTTGAAAATGAATACCTCTTTCAATGTTGCGTAAGGGACGGACTATTAGAAAATTTATTGGGGGGGGGGGGGAGAAGTAAAAAAAATATTCGCGCAAGCAGGAGTGGCGCAAGGGAAAATTAAATGAAAAAAATAATAATCATGCACGCCAATTAACCCTAAAAAATATTCATGCTATGGCCTAAAAGAAAATTCATACAAGGAATTTGATAACGAAAAAAAATTCCTGCGGCTCGAAAATTACCCCCCCCCCCACCCCCCATAACTTTTCTGATGGTCCGTCCCTAACGAAGCGATTTACAGCGTTCATACGGGAACGCTATAAATCGCTTCGTTACGCAACATTGCCAGATGTATTATTTTTTAACAAGCGCTTGCTTTGTGCGTTTGCCTGTGGGAGAGTTGACGACAAAAATGACGTGAAAAAAAATAGCCTGTTCCAAGCGTTCAGATAGTGGAGAGCGGTGCGAAGTAAAGAAAGCGTCGAGCTCCTTTTTACTTCCCACCGCTCCCCCACTATCTGAACGCCTGGAACAGGCTAGGAAAAAAAGACAAATAATAATAATTTCTAACAAGCAAAACAAACAGTGAAAGTACTGATGAAAGTACTGTGGTACCTGTTACGTAAAAGAGATTTGATTGACATCTCTCTTGACTGACGGCTAAAATTTCCTAATCATTAAAAGTCACACAGGAAATCAATCCATGAATGGCGGATGTACATGTGCTGTGCTAAAAGTTGTCGTCAATCCATCATTTGCAGCTTATAAATCGCCAAGTTAGAGAGTGGTTCCCTTCGTCGACTAGCGAGCAAAATGCTAAGAGCAGGTCTGGTCCTTTTGATGTTTGCGGTGTTCGGGAAAGGAAAGGGATGCCGAACGCACACGAAATGTGATAACTGCAGTGAGGTAGAGCTTCGATGCAGTGGACTGACCTCCTTTCCAACATTAAAAGATATACCCAACAACACAAGATATCTGTGAGTACTAATTTCAATGATTTAAACGCCGTTTTTTTTTGTTGCAAATTTCAAGACACAAGACTAGATTTTTAAGCAGAACGCGTGTAGTAAGCTTGTTATTCTGGTCTGTGGATGAAATATAAATATAGCATGTAAGAGTGTGACCATAGTCACATGAAATCCTCACTTAAGACACGCACGATGTAGTTTTTTTTTCCTTTTCCTCACTGTCAAACCGTTTCACTTACTTGTATTCCACACAGCTGCGCCGCCAAAAGTATTCTCAAACGAAGTTTCAGTTTTATAAAGCACAAAAGTGGAGAAAAAAATGAAAGCTGCACACATTCTCGTATTGCATTGACCTTCATTCATTCGTGGCGAAAACGGAGGGACTCACACATCTCACAGTATGACGTACAGAGTTAAACTCCATTGTACAAATACACCCCGTTATTCATTTCCATAACATTGAGTAAAACACAATTGACAAAAAACCGCGAGTCCACGTTGTAGACTAAGATGTTGTTCGAATCACGTGGTGGAATTTATTTCCTCTGCGCAAGAGAGTCAAAAGTTTCTCTTAGAGTGTTTTGGTGTAAAAAAGAATCAATAAACTCCCGTCTGTCTTCAGAAGCTCTAACAGTAACAACACTGCAGAACCCAAAATTCAATGAAACGTCAAATTAAGATCAATGAAAGTAGTGAAAAACAAACGGCGCGAGGATTTCGTTCACAGGATTAAAAGGTAGAATTTTGCTGCAGTTCTCGATTGGTTGTGGGGGGTGATACTAATCAAAACTTTAACTATGGGCAGTTTCCACTGGACTAACTTCCGTAAGCAAACGGTTAAACAATATACTATAAAATCTCGCTCCTAGACTGGAAGATATAACTATTCGCTTGTTTCGCTCCAAGGGTGAAAACGATATGTGTTTTAAGGCGCCCTCGTGGTATTTCGCAATCACCCTCAGGAAGAGTCACCGTGTTCACAAAGTACTTCCTTTTGAGGACGGAAATCACTCACACGTATGGCCCAGCCAGCCTTCTACACATAAACCCGCCACAGGCGCAGACATAGAATACTAAACTAGTAAATTAAGTCTAGTTCATTAAGGCTCGACACGTATGACACGATGTTTTGGTAATTTTCTTATCTCTGGGTAAACAATAATCACGCAAGACGTGTCCATGAAACAGCTAGACACATCTTGATAAATTTAGATGAATAGACCTATTCGGCTAACACAATGTTGTACCCAATTCAAACCCTTTGGGAATAAAACGTTTTGTTTCAGGAATTTCCATATCATTTAAATGTGAATGCCGCATTATAATGCAAATCAATACACAAAGAATCTTAATCCCAGGAGATTTGAATTGGGTACAACATTCAGTTAGCCGAATAGGTCTATTACCCTACAAAACAACTTTTGTAATAAAATACAGACTTCCTTTAAGCTTCTTAGAACAGAGATAAGGCTGAAACACGGTGTTAATTGTATATGTCTTTTTTGCGGTTGGTGTTAAAGGTTAACACGGACTTAATTTCAGTTAGAGATAAGGTTTCCCAGGGTACCCTTAACCTTTTTTGAAAATATTTTTCAATTTTTTTATTGTTATTATTATTTTTATATATATTTTTACTTAGGACATTTAGATACAGACGGCAAACTCATAATCGATTAGCACCTGCAGAAAATACTCTTGCCTCTGTGTGAGGTCTTTTTCAGGGAAGATAATTCAATAAAAAGAGAAAATAACAAATGATATAACTTATTTTTCTCCTTAAAAACAAGAAACCATCTGCTCTACCACTTTCTAGACTATAAGTGAAGACTGTTATTTTTATCTGAAAGGGCATTCGGTTAAAAAAATTCACTGAAGTTGTATCAAACAACACAGAAATGTCAGACTAAGGTAAAAAACATAGATTACGGCACTCTTTTTTTTCTTTCTATAAGAATATATTTTATAAGGATATTGAGGCTCAAATTTGCGAAATTTTAAGAATATTTTAAGGATAGACTGGAGGCTTAGGGTATGAAAAGGGCTCAATTTTCTGTTTGAAAATATGTCCATACAGAACAATTTTAGTTAACAGTAGTATAGAAAATTATTCCTTTCACTAAACGGCAAAAACACTCTGGTACTTGAAACCTTAATACATTCTAAAACGGAAATGCAATAAGCTACGTTTTATTATTAAGAATAATTCAAGAATATTTTTAACCTAAAATCGGCAGAAAAATAAGAATATTCAGCCTGGGCAGGAAAAAACAACAATCTTATATGAAAAGAGTGTATATTGAGCAAGTACCAGTCCTCATCGAGGGCATGTTAGTAGCGAATAAGCACAGCCAGTAGTGGTCCTTGTCAAAGCAGCTGACGTCACGGTCTTCGCGAAACTGAAGCTCATTCGATTCTACAAGAAATAGATAATAAAGAATGACCCTCAAGGAAAGTTCCTTGATTTGCTATTCGTTCATGTCACAGACGGATGATGGGGCCTAGTTTCTCCAGTCCTAGTAACTTTCTGGGCCAAGATCAAAATTTGAATTCTCATTTGTTGCCCCTATTCATCTCCCACAGAAGTAGTGGGGAGAAGTTGATAAAATATCAAGCAAATTTTATCTTGTGTGATCATGTCCGTAATTCTCATGACCACTCTGTTTTACAAAGCATTGATATTACAAGGAAAAATTTGATGCTAATCACTCTTAGGGCTTAAAGGGCTAAATGAAAATCTTAAGAATAAAAACTATGAAGGCGGTTCCTGTCTCATAAACGAGCCCAGTTTGTTGTGATAACTGATCACTTTTTATCATGTTATTTGGAAATTATTTTAAAAAGCCTCGATTTTGAAATGTAAACACTCCAACAACAGCTTTCCAAGCCTGGTGAACGCCAAGAAAGGGACCCGCCTTTAAAGATCTGGTTGGCAAGTGCGGCAGGTGTATAAGTGTGTTATTTTACTTAGTTTAAATTTATTTCAGTTTTCCTCCTGTTAAACACACAAAACTGAACTTAAAGCTGATTTATAACCTGCCTTTTAATCACTCCTACTTCCGCTTGGATACAACTGAAATACAAAACGTGTGCGGAAAAACCTGCCATATCTTTATGAGAGCGTTAAGCATCATTATTGACACACAAAGGGAATCCGGCCCTTAGTTATTTATCGCGCAGCATGCTTTACATCCGCTATTATTTTGCCTTCAGTTCATTTTAAAAATAAAGACATTCAGCAGTAAATTTAGAGGTAGCCTCAAGAATTAAACACACTCAGACTCTCACGCAGAATTGCTGATAATTCGTCCGTTTGTTTTTGTGTATATATTTGCACGTTTAGGAGAGGCTAAAAAAAGCATTTTATTGTAAAGGATACCGCAAAGGCATATTAACTTTGACTAGGTTTTATATTAAGTGCTAGGATTAACCTTCAGACGCACTAATATCCTATCGAATAGCCTGACTGTTGCCACAAGTGGACTCCGTGAGAGCCGAAGGCGGGAGGACGTTCGCCGAGTGAGCGAAAGCGAGCGACGGAAACGGGCTTTGAGAAAGTCTACCTGAAAAGCAGGCGTCAAAAGGGATAAGAAAGAGGGCTCCCTATCTAGGATTTTGTTGGGAAAAATCTGAATATGGATTTACGTTGAATGAATACAGTCTCTTGTCGACTAAAGAAATTGACTATTCAAGCAACACATGGCAACCATGACCATCTAGGCCTAACCAAAACTTCGCGGGAAGACTTAAAAACAAATTAACGTGTCAATGAAAGGAACCGATATGACGCTGATGACGATTCCGAATTTATTGTTGTTCTTTTTTTTCCTTGTGGAGAGAAAAAGAGTTGGTTTCTCAATTCGAGTAGATCCAGATTCAGATAAAGAAACACATTCTAAGGTTAAGAAAAACAAACGTAACAAATGTTTCTCATTTCATCTTTTGTGGCCGCCTGTCTTTTTTTATTATTTCTTATCGGAACAGTTAGAACGAACAAAAACCAACAGGCATATATTTTCAACACCAATTATTCTACAATCATGCGTTACAGACAATACTTTTGATAAAACGAAGCTTTTAATAAATGCTGTGCTAATATCGACGTTTTGAATGCACCGTGCTTATTGCGATATATCGTATGACGCATCAAGTTGTTTAAAACATACACCTGACGTTTCATTTACAGTGAAACCTGTATTAAGCGGACACCCTCGGGGAATGCTGTAGTGTCCGCTTAATACAGGGTGTCCGCCTAATACAGGTTTCGATAGATAACGTCATATGAGATGTCAAATGCCATTCAAATGAACAGTGGAAATGTTAAGAATTCTCCCAGAGACTTTGACGGTATACGTTTACATTAATTTCTTTATCAAAGTGGACCAATTGGTCATAGTACCATAAACATAGATTGCAACTCAAATTTGCAGAAATCATATGAGTGAAACGAGCTCTATACAAACAAAACGAAATAGAAAACAATACCGTACTGTGAAACTAATCAAAAAAGTTCGTCAAGTCACGTTTTTTAATGTAAAAATCGAAAAAGTTTTGGGTGGCAATTCGAGGTAATCTTTCGCATTTCCGGTGTCTGGCATGTTGGATAGTGGAATTTGATTACAAGTGCCCGTTTAATACAGGTTGGTAACAATAGAAATGACTATTTCAGGTACTTTTTAGGTGTCCGCGTCCGCGTAATAGAGGTGTCCGCTTAATAAAGGTTTCATTTAAAGCAAATAAGGGAAATAAATTTTGGGACTTCGGCTACTGTCCTCTTAATAGAGGGTGTCCGCTTAATACGGTGTCCGCTTAATACAGGTTTCACTGTACTATTATCTGACCGAAGAACTCCAAATTATCCCTGGGGGAGGAAAAGAATTTAACTCTTGGCAATAATAAAAAAACTGTGAAAAGTTTGAACCCAGGAGTTATTTTCAGGACTATATACGTTCACCCGGACGATCATACTCAACCTACTTAATTATGAAGTAATAAAAAAGCCGGAATTAGCAAATTTAAAGCGTTTTCCCGCTCTCTTTTCCTTTATAGAAAACCGGACGAGAAACATTTGTTGCTTTTGTCACTGTTTTTTTTTTTTTTTTTTTACACTTAGCATTATAGCTTTTTTCATAGCTGCTATTACTTTTTAACCTTCGTTCTTTTCTATTCTAGGCATATAATGCAGTCGTCGTTTTCTAAAATCCCAGCTGGAGTACTTAGACAACGAAAGAAACTCGCAATACTGTATGTACTTCATGTTTTTCGTTCCACTTCTTTTTCTAAGCTGTTGAGGACGAGAGCTGACAGAACTGGCTGAAACGTCTAGTTTCATACTAATGACCAATAATTTGTATTCAATTCTTATTTTCAAGTGCGATGGCAACGGGAGTTTAGTTTCACGAACCTTTCGTTATGATTTCTTTGTGATTGATCAAGTGCTAATTCTTCCGTAGCGACAATAATACTAAAAGAGCATTTTAAAAGCGAATGTTATATGTATTTAGCACATAAGTACTAATCATTGAAGACACTCTTTTAAGTCTCCTTCAAGAGAGAGGACCACCATCTCCATCTGGTCATCCGAGATACACAAAGATCAAGCTGTTTTCCGGGCGGGTCTGGGCGGGTCTGCGCGATGCGGGGGCGGGGGGGGCGCGGGATGAGGTAGTCGCTTACGAGAGTCGGGTCATAGAAAGTTTCTGTTCGCGGTTTTCGTGCAGCTTTTCACGATCCGCTCTCCCTAGTTGATCTTGGTGCCTGGAACAGGCAGTGTTAGAGAGATAGGGAGGGGTTGGGCAGCAAGAGGACTTCCTTCTGCCCTCATCGCTTTTGTTTTTCCTCTGCTCTCTATTTCGCGCCACTCTCCACCATTTTAACGCCTGGAAAAAACAGGCCACAGATCAGCACGCTATCCGATAAGCTCATGGTATACCCTTCCTTAAGATTTGACAGACTAAATATTGATTTAATGTCTCGTAGAATTCTTAGCAATAATGACATAAAAGAGGTTGAAGATGGTGCATTTGATGGCCTCGAGAACCTTTTTGAAATGTAAGTATTTTACTTCGTTTAATTTAATAAACTCTATTCGCCCGCTTCAAATTACAAACATCCACACAAAAGAAATACTTAAGAATTTCCTTTGAAATTTCAGTGCAGTTCCTAGGCCATAAGCCGGGGTAAACCTTTGTAGATGTATGTGGTGTAATCTATTATTATTATTTGTTGTGTGTGATCTAAAGCTATTTTTATGCCTTAATTCTTTTAAAGAAATTTGGATCACAACAGACTAGAAAAATTCCCTGTTTTCAAGACCAAGTCCCACTTAAAACGATTGTAAGTATGTTTGCCGGTACAAGTTATTAAACACAAAGTCTTAGAATAAAGTTTTGTGTTTTTCATTCATCCATCCATCCATCCATCCATCCATCCATCCATCCATCCATCCATCCATCCATCCATCCATCCATCCATCCATCCATCCATCCATCCATCCATCCATCCATCCATCCATCCATCCATCCATCCATCCATCCATCCATCCATCCATCCATCCATCCATCCATCCATCCATCCATCCATCCATCCATCCATCCATCCATCCATCCATCCATCCATCCATCCATTAATTAATAATTAACTCATCGAAATTAAAGAATTATACTGCATGACAAAACAGGAAGAGGGTAAATTACGATCAAAGTTTACTCGATGACCGCCTCATGGATTTGAGCTTTCCAGGTCAGCGGACCACCACAGCTACTTCGTGTATCCCTCACGATAGTGTATACATGCCAGGACCACGTGCTGGAAAGTCTGATACTTGACTCCAATTATTCCAAAATGACTCCTAAATTTGTGAAGTAGGAGTCACACTGACTCCACTCATCAATAAAATTTGCAAACCCTGGTACTACACTTAATTCCTCTTAGTTAAAGGTGAGCACATCGAGTGACAGTATAAAAGTCAGTTAGCTGTGCATGTGTTTTAATAAACCAAATATTGAGATCCGTTCGGGGACCACAGAGAACTCAAAGAACTCTTATACTACAGCAGACAGATCTATTTCAACTGGCGTAATTCCTCTAAGTTAAGGACTTGACTTATTTAGCTGCCAAATCAAATCGAGTGACTGTAAAATTCAGTCACTTTTTTTTATTTATCTGACCTGAAAAGTAGAGCTAGAGAGTCTGATGGTGGGAGGTGCATCTAAAGTCGTTTGTTTTTACCGAAGTTTCGAGTTCCGAAGTTGCCAGGAAGACCTTTGAAAAATTTCAATTTCTGCAAATTAACATGGCGATAATCAAAGTTGAGGCAGAGTTTTCAGAGGAGTCAAACAATGTTTCTAACCAAAGGCTATGTCTGATAATCCTTTGAGGCTGGGAAAAAAAACTCAGTAGGATCGTGGACTACATTAATTAAGGCCCAGGCCAAACGTCGAACTTTTCATGAGACGAACCAAACGCGGTGAGTTAAGTTCATGAAAAGTTCAAAGTCAGGCGCAGTTACGTTCGACTGAATGAGTTTGGATCGTTCAACAAGTTCTATCCGTCTGCGCATGCTTAAACCGGTAGAATGTCTGAAGATCATCTCCGGGACAATTGTCGAGGTTCACACGCGCAAACTATAGACTAATAAATTAACTCGAAATACATTATCGCAAAAATCTGAATAGCTCGTTCAGGAGAAAATTTATTAACATTGTGTTTTAGTCTGACTCAGTAGATTGGTTCGACGAGTCCTAAGTTGTACGTCTGACCCAACTGACGATCTTAATTTGTCAATTTAGGTCGACCCAAATTAGACTGAGTTGAAAGGTTCGACGTTTGGCCTGGGCCTAAGCTCTCGCTAACTTTTTCTAATCTTCTTATTAATTTCAGATACTTAAACAACAACAATATCAAAACACTGCCGAGAAAGTCACTGAAAAATCTACCGGAGCTGATGAACTTGTAAGTAGTTGTGTGAGAGAGTATTATTGGGCGCGATCTATTCAACCAAAATTCAGACCGGTCCGACTGGGAAAAGTGGACCACCTCAAAAGGTGAACCAGTTTCTGCAATGAGTTTTGGACCGAAATTTCCGGAAAGTTTTGGGTCGAATGGATCGCGCCCATTATCTTTTTTCAGACCAAAGAAAACACAGACTGCCAAACCACGTTGTTTTAAGGGCAGTAAAAGCCACAACCTCTGGCAGCCATGGCATAGCCTTAAGCTAGGCTCCTTAACAACCAACGGCCGTGTTGAGGCACCCCTCATGCTGTGCTCATGAGCACGCCTTGTGAGGGCGAAACAGCTGTCTATGGCTGCCACTATCAGGGTGATGACAGTGGGCATCCGTAAGATACAGCCACACCGCGGAGTTTGTAAAAAATGCACTTTATTTAAGAGGCTGTCCGCGTAAGAACCGATAAGGCAAATTTCGGTCTATCACGGATTGCCCTGATTTTTTCAGCGGAAGATGACTATCCTATCCCATGAAGAAATATCACATTTATTTGGACCAACTCAATTTTTTCTCTATTTTACAGGAAGATTTTCTCGGTCACCTAAAACTAGTCGGTTTGCCGTCGGAAGTAGTTCGATTTTGGTGAAACTTTAGGGCTCTGTCAAACCTACCTTACATAGCCGAATAATCTGATTATTTTACACACAAAAGTCTTAACTCTCATTAATAGTTTCAATGTTTAATGGTTGCATTCTGTGGAAAGTTGGCTGAGATATGATTTTTTGAAAATGACCTTTAATTTGCTCAGCAGGAAAAGTAATTTGCATAACTAGAGCTGAACGGCAATTTCGCAAAAGTGGCACCTGACCCAGACTCAGGTCTATGATAAATCAGAAGTACTAAGACCAGTCTACTTCTTAACGCAATAAAATTTATGGGCACTCTTCTTTGCGTGCCGTGCAAAGTTCCGTTAATGTTCCAAAATTCGCCATTTTGACAGCAAAGCTGGAATTGTAACGGGTCCGCATCTGATCGACTAATTTCCACAGCTTTAACGTTTCCAGTGATCACTAAATATCATTAGACCCTTTAAATGTTGGACGTTTGAAAACATGTGGAGAAAACTTAGTAATCGCTTTTCCTTGGGTCTTTTTCTTGTCGACGATGAACGTGACTTCGTTCTCGGTATGCAAATTAACATTAGATGGGTTGTTTCAACAAATTGACAGGAAATATAATCGTTACATTCACATTTCTAAGGAGAAAAATAATTCTCCTTTCCACAGAAAAACACAAACCATGACTTAGAATCCCCTTAAGGTCTGTTTTTTTTTTTTAACGAGGAAGAAGGAGCTGAATAATATATCATGATAGATGTTTGCGGCTTAAAATAATTCAATTACTGAGGCCTGTCACGCATTCCTGAAGAGGGGTGGTCGATTAGAAAACAATAGCGTTGTGTCGATCAATTCGATAATATTATCATCTTTTTCTTAAATGATAGTTATTGATAATAATAAAAAATAAGAGTTCACTTGCAAGGTAATTCCTCCTGTCAGCACACGAAAATGTTTGGGGACTCTTTTTTGCCTCCCTTTATAAAAAATAGCGTTAACGTCGAAAGCTTTATTATGATATTTGCTTATCGGGAGAAGGCAGATCTTTGTACATGGCACTATGATAAAAAAAAAAAAATGCCCCACACTTTTTCTATCTTAAATTAGCGGTAAATTTCAGTTTCATTCAAAGATCTTTAAAGCGTTTATCGGTAGCTTATCGGTAGCAGAATGAAAAGGGAAAAATAGTTCCTTTTTTCAGTGAATAAACGCAAAAGGGAGTATCTTTTCAGTTTTTGTTAGGGTATAACATCCGAATTCCAACGATGATCTTGTTTTGGTTTCAATCTGATTGAATTATAATGCAACAGGTGCCAGTTTCAAACTAAATATAATTATGTCACTGAAATCGCCGAAGAGATCAATTGTGAAAAATGGCTTTCTCGGCTATTTCATCAAGCAGTTCTTCCGCGAGATCGTAGACAGAGTGAGGTCCCAGAAGGCGTGTGGAAGAAAATGTGTTAGTCACAGAGTGCATGGATGATATTACCTCACACTTAGCCAGCTCTCACTTGTCTAAGTGTAGCAAGTGTAGCAAAGACAATGAAAATGAACTCATTTTAGCGAGAGTACGTATTCGAGGCTTGGTGGGTATTCGGAACTGAAATGACAATCTGCCCAAGGCACAGACACTAAATAGCCTGTGTACAGACCCCCTCCTCTCAGGAAAAATCGGAGAAGGGGCCGCTTCTCCCAAGGGGGGGAGGGTAGTGTGTACAAAGGCGAACACTAAAATGACAATCTGCTTTAGGCACAGGTTTTTGCGAGCGCCAAGGTCTTGCTAGGCTCGATTGTAAGCCGCTGTTTTGGAAAAAGAGCCCCCAACGGAAGGGGAGAGGGCGGAAATCGAGCCTAAGGTCTTGTCAATACCCCGGTCACACTCTGGATGATACTGGCAAAATAACTTCTGTGGCAGGAAGACACGTCGTAAATTTCCAGATACCCAGCGAAATAAGTCAAAGTTTTGTTCCATCATTCTTTTTTCTTCTTCATGCAAACAATTGTCTTAACGTACAGAGATATTTTAATTTCTCTATTTAACATTTTATCTTGCGATGTTTTCTGAAGTTCGTTTCCAGTTTATTTGAGCTTGCAAAGATAGTTTTTGTTATTTCTATTTTTTTGACAGCCGTGTATCTTGCCCTAATCAATTCTTGCCTTTAAAATACTATACATACCGGTTAATCCGTGTGTTGTGAAAGATTGTTTTCTGATGATTGTTTGAAGAGCATTATAATATTATAAATGGGGAAAAAAGAACTTTCTACACGGAGTCAGGATTCAACCTCGTCCCCAGGGCTTTCCCGCCCCTGTCATTTTCTGAGAAGAATGTCCTGGGGACGAGGCTAGGAGTGATTGTGGTCGAGGTGTCGTTCACGTGTATGAAAAGTATTTCATTCTTGCAATAAAAATAACTTTTTTGAACTTAAACAGTGTTTAAAACATGTCTCTGGGTTTTGTAAAAATTAGTGATTCTTAAAAGTACCTTAGTGTTCAGTTCAACTTTATATAGCCGATTTGCTCCTCCTGTCGCAAGAAACTTGAAAAAACTTGACGCCGAAGGGTCGAGAAGAGCACGATTGAACAGTCTGCAACCATGTCCACACATTTGCCGCAGAGGTTTATTGGACAAGATTTCTCTGTTTTTCTTGTTTGACTGAACGTTTTCATTAAGTCTTCAAAAATGCCTCCAGATTGCTGTTTTTTTTTTGTTGTTGTTTTTTTTGTATTTATACGCTCTTGAACAATGTGCTTCATCTCACCTCTCCATTTTTAACCTACTTTACCATCCACCCTCTCTCCCCACTGTTCCACCTCTACTTTAATAAGCATTTGTATGTAAGGGGGTGAAATTTCTCCCGTGTATATTAATTTCTGAAAAAATAGGTCCTTCTACTTTTTCCTTAAATTCTTAAACTTAGTTCTTTTTTCTTTAAGAACCACCAAAGATGCTGCTAAGGCTGCAATAAGCGCACTCGCCCTTTTATATACTTCATCAGGAGCCGATTACTTGGAGCCTCCATCTCCCATATAAGCCCTTGGAGTCAACCCTTTCCGACGAAAAATTATTTATAGAAATAGCTTTCGCGGAATATTTTTCACGCCTTCTCAGTAATATCCAATCAGAGCAGAGCTATGATCATACGTCACACGCTGAGTCACAGAAGCGGGATTTGAATTGCTGCCAACAATGGCGGTTGTCAGCGTGGAAGAGTTATCTGATGATAGTTCTGATCTTGTATCGGGTTAAAAATATATACCCGCTTAAAGCCTAATAACAAAAAGAAAAAGGTGATACACTCATGCAACGTCTTCAAGTTTACTTGTAATCTTGAAAGTTGGCTGCATATCATAAGTTCTATCACGAACAACCCAGTCCCGGTCCTCGACAGCGGGTAAATAAATATTGAAAAATCAGGCTCTTAAGTTACTTTACTTTACTGGTTAACTCACTTGTGCAATGCTTTGGAGCTTTTTACTAATTCCACAAAGGACCACACTGCATCATCCCACAGTTAATTTGAAGTAAAAAGTATGTTGTTCCAACTGTGTTACAGATCGAACACGGACTGCATCTTTCGCTTGCTCGGCGGATGTAATTGTGCGAGATCTGAGGTCGCGAATTATGAACGGACTTTTATAAGCCAAAATAATGTGGCTGTGGATGAAAATGGCTTTTGATAACATACAATCTCAACGGAAAATATTTCAAGTGAACATATCAAACAAAACAAACGAGATGTTCAACAGGAATGAAATCGAATTAAAAGCGAAATTAACTGTTGTGTACCTAACATACTGAGGGTTTCATTCACACAATACAACAACTGTCGATACAGAATTTACTGAGCTTGGTATTTTTCTCTTGCTACTAAGAAACTAAGTGACATGTAAACAAGGAAAATAACAGGCAGTCATAAAATTAAAAAAGGAGCGAGCCCATGGGGCTAGTCACTTCAAAAGATTTTAATTTTGAATGAAAGAAAGGTTCTCAAAGGTTTCACAGCGGAAGTTATATGTTTCGGCATGTCACGTCCTCCTGTATATTTCTTTTGCGGTTATTTGAGGTCTACAAGTATATGCTGCGGCCATGAAATCTTGTAGCATCTTGAGAAATAGTGTGATTGCCAAACAGTGTATAATTTCTTCCTGAGTTTGATAATTCTGCACTCAAAGGGTTTTTGTAGCTTTCATGACTTGTGGCAACTAAATAATAACTTATATAGCACCATCAAAATGAATAAAAATCCGGGCAACATAAACCGATACCTTTCTTCACTTCGTCGTTTTGCTTCTTTAAATGAAATCCTTCAAAATCATGAGAAAACATCTTGATTTTCGCTGTCCCGGGTTGCGGTAGATAAGACACAGAAGACACGACAGTTTCTACTTACAAAGGCCGCGGAAGGCGCAAAATTGCCTCCAATTTGCCGGTTCCATACAGAGCTTACCGTAATCGCTCCACTTCCCTTTTAAAAAGTCTGGCTCTCCAACAAAGAGTTTCACTTTTTAATTCTTTGAAAAGCTCCTTTTAAATAAGGGCGATGGAGTACAACATTACGAGCAAAATTTAAACATCCGAACAGTGCTACAACAGCAAACACGACCTCGTGCGTTGCAACAAAATATAGCAATATTTTTACAGATTACATATTATTTATATTAACTTGAAACCAGCTTTCCTCGGTTGTAAGGGAAGGAATGGAGGCAGGAGCTACGGTGATGGAACAAGGAGTAACCTTGTTGGCCAATTTCCCTCTTTCGTCGCCATTTTTTTCTCACAACAGAAATATGCGGACGTCCTCGAAAACAATTAATTAAAATCAATTTCGCGGGAAAGCCTGTTCTAAAAATAATTCTTTATCGGAAAGGGTTGACTCAAGGGTGCAGCACGTATGGAGGCTCCAAGTAATCGGCTCCTGACTTCATCTAGTGAAATGCCCGCCCTTTCATATACCTGAAGCCTGAAAAAGATACTCCTTTCGGGCGGAACCTCCCCGTATAGGCCATCATAGGGAGTTCCCCCCACTCCCGTTCCAATTCCGTGCTCACCTATTGCCAGCCCATGTTGGACTCTAGGCCCGTTTGAGTCAACACGTAAACATAATCCTAAGTGTATACAAGTTGAACTTGACCATAGAGATCTGTTGCAAGAAGACGAGGAGTTCGAAAGGCAAAAGCTTGTTGCAGAAATCGCTGAAGAATTGAGACCACAACACCCTCAACCAGAAGCTTTCAACCTATGTGTATGTCAAAGGAAGAACAACCTAGTCAGTTCAACGTGGTAATGCTAAAAAAATCTTGTGTCACTTTAAAATACCATTCAAATCCAGGGAAAGAAAAGGAGACCTAGTTGACAAACTTTCGTCTTTCATACAAGATTGCACGTGCTTTTCTCCAACAGCGCAGGAGTGAACATATGGATCCTTAATTTAGTGTGATTAACAGCCGGCAAAACTTTTGGGATTTAACAGGAGAAGGACCGTAAAAAATAACTATGCCTTTTTCTGCATGCCATTCCTCATTTTTACTGGAATGTTGTTAATTGGCGATAAACACAATGCTCTGTTAATACCACCCTAACGTTTGTATAGCCTATGGTTAGCAAGGGATCTAGGAAATGAAAGTACTTTGCAGGTGTGGTCCTATGGTGTCGCACGGTATTTCTGAAGTTGTTTGCGAGCTATTTCCAAAATATTAATTTTTGATTCTGTAATTGAAAATATTGTGCTAGTGCTCGTGAATAAGAGTGGCCGTGTCCAAGTGGCTACTTTGTAGCTAATTGTCGTGTATTACACCATGGGCTGTCATATTAAACCCTATCCTCACAGTGGCTCCCGGGGATACTGACTCAGTTAAAACGGTCGTAGAATGAATAAATACAACAGCAGGGTATTTCCCACCCAGTAAAGAATCGGAATTAACAGTGATTAAATTGTATGATTATCAATAACTATCACTTCAAAAAAAATATAATCAGATAAAAGAACTGATCGATACACAGCCACTCTCGGGGAATGCGTGACGGGCCAAAGTAATTAAATTATTTTAATTCGCGTAAACATATCTTCTTCTACTACTTCTTCCTCGTGAAACAGACCTAAGGGGATTCTAAGTCATATATCGTTCGTGTTTTTTCGTGGAAAGTTCTAAGAGATATTTTCCCTTAAAAATGTGAAATATAAGCAGATATGTTTCCTGACAATTCAATTAATTGAAACGACGCATCTAAGGCTAATTTGCATACGGAGAATGAAGTCGTGTTCTGATCGTCGACCAGGAAAAAAACCAAGAAAAAGCGATTATCAAGTTTTCTCCTCGTGTTTTCAAACGTCCAACATTTAAAGGGTCTAATGACATTTGGTGATAACTAGAAACGTTAAAACTGTGGAAATTAGTCGATCAAATGCGGACCGTTACAGTTCCAGCTTTGCTGTCAAAATGGCGAATTTGTAACATTAACGGAACTTTGTACAGCGCGCAGAGAAGAGTGCCCACAAATTTTATTGCATTAAGAAGTAGACTGGTCTTAGTACTTCTGATTTATCAGAGACTTGAGTCTGGGTCAGGTGCCACTTTCGCGAAATTACCGTTCAGCTCTAGTTATGCAAATTACTTTTCCTGCTGAGCAAATTAACGGTCATTTAAAAAAAATCATATCTCAGCCAAATTTCCACAGAATGCAACCATTAAACTTTGACACTGTTAATGAGAGTTAAAACTTTTGTGTGTAAAATAATCAGATTATTCGGCTATGTAAGGTAGGTTTGACAGAGCCCTAAAGTTTCACCAAAATCGCACCACTTCTGAAGGCAAACGGGCCAGTTTTAGGTGACCGAGAAAATCTTCCTGTAATATAGAGAAAAAATTGAGTTGGTCCAAATAAATGTGATATTTCTTCATGGGATAGGATAGTTATCTTCCACTGAAAAAATCAGGGCAATCCGTGATAGACCGAAATTTGCCTTATCGGTTCTTACGCGGACAGCCTCTTAAGTGTTTATATATTTAGCTCGAAACTAATTGAGGGCGCTATTTTACATCCCCTACTAGAGACGACGGGATAGCCGCAACACGTGGTCATCCCGTGTCATACGAAATTCTAGCCATTTTACAGGGCAAAGTAGCCTGAGAAAACAGCGGAGTCCAACAATGGTTTCGACGAAATGACGTCTGAGACACTACCCAGATCTGGGTAGTGCTTCTGATTGGTTGAAGCAAATTTCCAACCAGGCAGCATCACCACGCAGATCTGGGTAGAGACGCGTCGTCAGTATTGAATTTCTGCTCTGGTTTCTCAGAAGTCATTTCGCGGGGAAACCAGTGATGGCGTTCTGAAGTGCCGGCTGTTTTCACAGCCTACAGGGCAAAGGTAATACCTTCGTTTCTCAGTTATTTTGAAGACCTTAAGTACTGCTGCGGCCCTGGGGATGGAACCCGCGACCATCCGCTCAAACTACAAGCGCTTTACCGCGGACTGAGCTAGTCCTGCCACGGTACTGGGTAGCGTATACTTCTTATAGCTTTGGTATTGTATCTCTTACAGTCTGTCTGACAGGGTCGAAATAAGTAATGCCAATGAATGACTATAAGTTAATCGAAGCAACAATACTACTTACTGGTCATAAAAAAAAACAACAACAACAACCTCTGACTCTTTTCACTCTATAGGAAATTAGATAACACAGAGATCACGGAAATACCAGCCTATATGTTTAGCAATAACAAGAAGCTATTATCTTTGTAAGTACTCAGCATTTTGTTTCTTCTTTTTCTTCTTCTTGTAACAAGAGAAAATAATGAACAGAGACAGATTCTTAGGTGTTGGCCGGGATATGAGAATTTCACTTAAGTTATTATTAGAGGTTGTAATAAAAGGGAAGTATTATTCCTGGGACGTCCGCTCATTTTAATCCATTGCTTGAAACGTCATCAAGTCCAGCGTGACTGCTTAAAACCAAACAATGCAGTCCTGAATATTGTAATGGTGACACACCTATATTCTCTCTAGACAGAACTGAATAAAAGTTTGTGGACCTCTCCAGCTCCGAAAACTAACTTCTGATTAATTTTAAACGTTTAGTTGGTCTAAAAATAACTTTGGGGAAAGGAAAAAAAAGATGCACTTTATTGTGTCAATGTATTTAGCACGAAAGTACTAATTAGGGACACTATATTAACGTCTGCTATCCGAGACGGGACCGCCATTTTACGTTTACGTGGTCATCCGAGCCACGCGAAGGTCTAGCTATTTGCCGGGCAAAGGGAGTACCTTCACTTCTCAGTCAGAATCGAACCCGCGACCTCCCGCTCTACAGTCAAGAGCTCTACCGACTTAGCTAATCCTGTCGCGGAATAAGTCACATATCGTAAGGGCTAGACCGGGAGTTTCCCTCTATCCCATTTCTCTCTCTTGCTTGTAATTAGCACTAGCCTCTTACTGTTATTTACACTGTAACCTATGTGGTGAGCATGAGATAGATCTAGCGTCACACGGAACCACCTTAAATAACCGTTCGAAAATTCAGACCCCTAGCCGTGCAAAGATTCTTGTGAACAGAGCAAAAATACTGAACGAAGTGTCCTGTCAAATTTTTCCACCCGGTCGAAAATTCGTCCGGTGCCGTGTTAACGCGTAACCTATGTAATTATCACATTGAAGTCAGCTTTTTATTAATTTTATTAACTGAGATATACCCTAAACTAATAAATCACTCTTTAAGAGTATTACCGACGACCTTTCATAAAAATTCTAATTGGTGAAGTTTGCTTGTTTAGGAGTCTCCAGTATTCTTCGCTCTCGAAAATCGACGAAAACGCATTCACGGATTCAAACTTGCAAACACTGTAAGTATATGAATACTTTAAACATAAAAACACAGCTGAGAATTTGAAAGGCAAGGGTCATTAGACGTCATTTATAAATGCAGCACATTGGAGCTCTTTTCTGGGCAGGCTGTGTCAACCCTTGATACTGTCGTTCTATTTGCCACAGACCAATATTGGTTTTCAAGGCTGAAGTAGATCATAGCTGGCAGCGTACTTTGGCGCCTTTAAGAAAGAAGTGTTTCCATGGTCACAAAATGGGGCGTAAACAAATGTGTAATTAAAGCAGCGCAGTTTTAATGTTGTACCCAGATCTTTCTAGGTCAGTTGAGAGACAGGTATGAAAGTGGGATCTAAGCACGAAATAAATAACAAAACTAATAACAACGACGACGACGAAGACAAAACCTCAGGGGCGGATCCAGGGGGAGGGTGCAGGGGGTGCGCACCCCCCCCCTGGGATGACCTGCGGCCGCTTTCTACTTAACACTGTGCAGTCGCTTGACAGACATACAAAATCTGCTCTATCGTTTGATATGTATTCTCAGCAGTTCACATTATGTTATTTCCTAGTCAAAAGCCCTCTTCTTCATATTCGCTTTTAAAATTTTTTACGTCATCAGTCAGTTAGTGGTGCACCCCCTCCTAAGAAAAATCCTGGATCCGCCCCTGAACCTAGTGATGAAGTTTACAAGAGCACGTCTGGAAAAGATTAATTTTGCGGCATTTAAGGCTGACCATTTTGCAAGATCTTTTAATCCTATTATATCTCCCTCTCTTTCGCCAGAATCTTAAAGGGAACAAAGATCACCTCGTTGTCTGCTACTGGGCTTGATAATTTGAGAGTTCTTAACCTGGAAGAAATTGAGAACTTTTGGTCCATACCATCAGGACTGAAAAGCATCCGTGAAGTGTACGTCAACGAGTATAACTCATTTTTATGCTGTTCCTTTTTTCTGGGGACATACCAACGTGACATCGGAAGGCAGGTAAAGGGTGTAGCGAGTTTAAGTTCAACTGATAGTCCGTCGACAATTCCAAGCACATCTTCTACTGCAAATATTCACACCTCAAGTCCAAATGGCAATAAAACAACCCCCTCAAAGAGAACCACAACTAAATCACCATGGGAATTGGGTAAGAGAAGGCGCCGAGATTTCCGGGGATTTGTTACAGATGCACCAACAGTGAATGGCAGCTCTGGTGGAGTTAATGCCAACTCTACTGCAAACTCTACATCACCTCCAAAGTTAACTACTCCCACATCTAATGGTGGATTCATTCCAGGTGGCGGCGGCTTTTTACCCGGTCCGAAGACTCCCTCGGGGATCACCACCTCAGGGTCCAATGGTGAATCTTTCCCGGGGGGTGGATTTGCAACTGGAAAAGTTAACCTTCCACGTACCATCACCCACGAAAATACACCAAACACAAGTGCCCCTATAGTTACTGCACCACCCCCAGGTGATGTCATTTGTTTACCAAAAAGAGACGCTTACCATCCCTGTGAAGATATTATGGGCGCAAAATGGCTAACTGCAGTTTCACTAATTGTAGGAACCGTTGCTCTTGTGGCAAATCTAGTTGTAGTTATTGTCATGTTGACAAGCGATCGTCGGCTAAACGTACACCGCTTCCTGATGAGTAATCTGGCGTTTGCAGACTTCTGTCTTGGTTTGTATATATTCATACTGGTTTGCGTATCTTTGGACACTTCCGGAGAATTCTACAACCATGTCAAAGCTTGGCAGTACGGTGCAGGATGTAAAATCACGGGTTTCCTTGCTGTGTTTTCTACAGAGCTGTCCGTTTATACACTAACAGTCATTACAGTGGAAAGATTTTTTGCCATAGTTTACGCTATGGAGGTCAACTACCGGCTCTCGCTACGTAAAGCCGTGAAAATTATGATCTCTGGCTGGTTGTTCGCCTTCCTCATGGCTATCATCCCCCTTGCCGGGGTCAACAGTTACCAAAGTGTCGCTATTTGCTTACCGTTCAACTCCGACACCAAGAGTGCCCTGGCGTTCGTAGGCATCGCCTTAGTGCTAAATCTTGGGGCATTTTTGGTTATCGGGGGCTTGTACACCAAAATGTTTCAAGTTGTTGTGGGTCCTGGTCCTGTTGATGGGGGCCCTCAAAGAAACGACGCAAAAGTTGCTAAACGAATGGCATTGCTGGTGTTCACTGATTTTATCTGCTGGACACCTATCGCTTTCTTTGGCCTTGTGGCTGCTCTTGGGACGCCACTTATCGGGGTAAAGGAATCCAAGTTTCTGCTGGTGTTTTTCTTTCCACTGAACAGCCTCTGCAATCCTTTTCTTTACGCGTTCTTCACTAGAGCGTTCAAACGCGAATTCTTCTCGCTTCTTAGTCGATTCGGGTTCTGCAAGACACGAGCACTGCGTTACAAGGGCACACTGTCGTCCCTGATCTACTCTCGGTCACGTACGAAGCGATCTACGATAGCCGAAGATGACACGAGGTCAAAACGGATTTCGCAAATTTCCGCTACCTCTGCAAACACAGATTTGCGACCTTCGACAAACGAGTCCCCGAAAGGCGAAGTCTGTGAGAACGGAAATTGTCTTGGTACAGTACATGAGTGTATTCCTATGAAGGGTGTGGGTAATCCGGGGTTTGGTGATGATTCACCTGTAAGTCCCGCATCTGATAACGTGTTTTTCGACCCAGCAACCAAGGCAGAGTCTACATCTCCAAATGCTTCAATAAAGGGATTATGTGAACAAACCGACGCCGAAGATAAAACCGATAAGGGTGACTCACAGCCGATTACACGGGCTGAAAGTTTCGGCAGTTTTCATGCAGTCGAGGGAAAGCTTGGTGAGAAACGGTCTAAAAAACAATCTGTATCTTTTCGAGACCAGCCCTATCATACAGGAAACAATTGAGACGGCATAATATTCCAAGACTGGCAAAATATAACAAGTTATAGCCTTCCTCCAGACCATGACCTTACAAAGCCCATTTTTGATCCTTCAGTTATTTGATAAAAGAACTTAAGGTGGTAAAAAACAAACAGAAGGGAAAGTCTCGTCACATATTTACGCATTAAGATATAATGGCGAATTATACCACAAGGACAAACTAACTGCTATTCTCCTAAGTCCTCCTAGTATCTACATGCTTATACTCGGGCCTTCACGGTTTAAACCTGCACCGTGGTGACGTTGATTTTTGCCACGTGACCCGGTATCCTCACTTAATGAAGTGGGCCTAGTTACGTAAAACCTTACGCCCCCACCCCCCTCGCCTCCCTCCGCAGAGTATTTCCCTCAGCCCTGACCTGTGTGTCGAATTTTTAATATAAAAACGGCAGTTTTAAGTTGAGAATTTCTCAACATAGAAAATGAGCAGATAAAAATAGCTCAAAAAAATTCTTATGGATAAAAAATTTTAAAAAATGAACAGTAAAAGACAAGTAAAGGAGAAACTTAGTTACGTGGTACAAATTCGCGTTTGCTGTTTGACATAAACGTGAAGCTTACACTCTCAAGCGAAAAAGTCATCCAACACATGAGCATTTACATCTAACGTTAGGTTTTATGCATCTTTCTCTTGGCCCCAGTTGCTCAAAAGGAGGATAACGCTATCCTCCGGATAGATCACAGTCCACTGGATAACATAACGTAATTGGTTTCCTCGATCAACACTTATCCGCTGGATAGTTATTTATCCGGCGGATATCGCTATCCAACTTTCGAACACCAGGGCCTAGATCTATTATGTATTTAAGGAATAAACACTTGCGCACGCATATGCATGTCGCGCCTTTTTTAGCTTAGCACGTGCTCTCTTAGCCTGTACACAGACGTTGTTTGATTTTTCTTTTAGTTCTTTTCGTAAACATCGGCGAGCTCGGAGCATCGATTTTCTTTTTCCCCACCCCTATCCCCTCACTGGCGGTCAATAAATCCCCGCGGTTTTTACATTTTATCACGCGCGCCCTACGGACTTTGAAGAGAAAGTAGAGGGGCTGTGGCATGTGAACAGGCTAGTGCTCTCTTAATTGTCCGTCTAACTATTCCTGGGAAGAAAAAGTGAATAAAAATTAACAGACTTGTCGAAGAAAAGACCATTGCCACGCATTGAAGTTAATTTTCTGGACCATGAAAGAATAGCTCATTGAGATCGCTTTATCGTCAGCATAAAGAATATTTACCACTAACAGTAATCGGGTGTTATTGAGGTGTTATTGGTTCCGTTTATAAATTTTTAGAATTGAGTTGGAAAGCCTGCAAACCTTGCGATTCGCTGAGCGAGGGAAGATGGTTCCAGTAGTCAGGCCACGTTCTTTTACATCAAGAGCCAAGTATCAACCGTATCTTCAATGCTTTTACAGTCCCATACATTTTTTAACAAATTTAACACCAGAGTAACGTATTAACCAACGAAATAAAATACAGTACTAGACAATGCAATATATATTTTCATTCCTGTACGTACGTACATACAGAACTTATATTAACATTAAATAGCAGTTTGAAATTTATAATACCTCTTACAGGCACACAAACCGTTGGTAGACGAGCCTTTTAACCTTGTATGATGAACTGAATTTTCCTTCATGCAGAGCAACAGGAACAAGTTACGATACTGAGATTTCCCAGAGTTGCCTTCCAGTATGCAATTCGCCATGTCCATTGGCCTACTGATTATTTGCCTTAACTCTGCAAACATACAGTATGCCCAGCTAATTTTTGTTGTCGTTTCAGCTGCGGTATTCTTACTGCAAATTGTCCCAGTTGGCGATCTTAATGCATGGTTCTATTTCACCTGTTTACCACTCCTCCCCGGGGATCCAGATTTGCGATATTTTTTTCTTTGAATACCTGAGGCTCGTTTCTCGAAAGTCCCGTTTAGTAACGGGCCCGTAAAGCTGTTGTTTACATGCAAGATAGAAGTTTTAATAGTTTTGCATCTAACATGATAAAACTGTCAGTTAATGAAACAAAATGGAGTATTTTTCTAGCCAGGGGCCCGTTTCTCGAAAATCCCGATAACTTTTGGGGCCCAAAGGCAAATTTTAATATCGAAACCTGTTGAATAGTAGCACAATTCCAACCTCGCAAACAAGTTAATTTTCGATGTTAACTGATGGTTTCATTTTATCATTTTCAAAATCATTAAAACTTTGATCTTGAATGCAAGCCCGGGAAACATAAAACAGCTTTCTGGGCCCCTGGTCGTTCTATTCCCCACCCCTGAACTCCTGATCGACCTCACATACGCTGTTTTGGGTACATCATCTTTTTGAGAGCAATATTGATTTCCGTACAACAGCAAAACGAGCCGTTTTCAGAACTTTTTTTGACGTTTGCTAGAGTTTATTGAGAGAAAGATAAACACAGATTCAATCCAATATTCTATAAGTATCAAAAAGGCGCTTAAGAGTTTTTCCTCCGTTTTGGTTTTCAAATGCACTGTTCATGTTTTGAACACATTTTACGTGTATAAAAACCATTAGAGTACGTATCATACGCACATACTTTCAAATACAGACTTTAATTTTGATAGGCTATTCCTCTCCAACCACTCCCTGGCAAATATAAAATCATTGCGTTTTGCCTTGAAAACTCGCAGTCTTGAGTTCTGCAACGTGCAAACTGCGCGAGAAATAACACGGATTTCGCAAAGTCAAAGAGGAGTTACCTTTGATTTGCACCACCCCCTACACCTGGGAGGACAGCTTTAAAAAAACTTCCCGGAGGGAAGGTAACAGGTAAAATTGAACCAATGCATAATTTTTGTTAAGTGCAAAAAATTATGAGTTGTCACTGTTTAACTTGATTTCTAAGTTTTTTGAGAAAATCCAAGATGGCGACTATTGCTGGTGACGTCACAGGCCCCCCGCAGCGCCAGCACCCATAAAATATACCTCATCTTGTAGAGAAGATGAAAGGCTTTCCACCGAAGGTTTTGAAATACTGGAACATATCAAAACCTCAAGGGGGGAGGAGGGGAGTTCCCTCCTTGTACCACGGCGGGGGGTATGACTTTTGGTGTGCGTCCGAGGGTTAAGATTTTGCAACCACGACGATGAGGACAACGTGGAAAAAATAATTGGTTTTGTGAGCAAACGCTTTTTAGTACATACTACAACGTGAAACCTCCAAATTCGACGTCAACGTATGACTCAACATACGACAACGAATTTTCCTTTATCTTTTTTAACCTGGATAAAGTCAAATAGACGCGATTAAGTTTGAAAGCAAATTTCTTGGGGGCGTTTTCAAAGTCGTCGTCGTCGTCCTCTGTTTAAGCTCCCAAAAGTCAGAAAGAAAGGGTAATGTCTGCGTTTAATGAAATTTAACATTTTAAACTCGATCTAAACTCATCCGAAAGAGCTTCATAAGAGGTCGAGTAAAACGCAAAAACCGTCAGTTCGCTATGACACATGTACCATTGTCCCCGTAAATTTACTTTTTTAATGAGAAAAAAAAAAGATCCCAATCAGTTTTTAATTTTTTTTAAAATTTTTTTAACGATAATGATTACAAGCTGACTTTCCGGTAACCTAAGCCTTCCATAGTTACCAAAAATTTTAGATTTTTGGTTTTTGCACAAAAGCGATTATCTACGAAATAAAAAATTAAAAAAAAAAACGATAACGTGACATGTCAGATGATGTCACAAAAGTGTTTTCTTAGTTCGACCGTATTTAGGAAATCCCAGTTTTTCTTTTTCTCTTAGCTTTTGATTGACAGTAAAGATGTTCAATGTTCAGCTGAAATGGCAATGCTGACACGACAATAAAACATCCTAACAAAATAAATTTGCTGTGCAATCTGGGTTGTGACACGTCATCAGTATGGAAATTCTCTGTTCGTTAGGGTGCTGTTACACAACGACGATTGTTATCGCAACACATACAGCGTTGCAATGTTGGAACAATGTTGTGACGCGTTGTGCTGTGCTAAAAATCGTCGTTGCGAATGTCTCGTGTAGCATCACCTTAAAGCAGTGGTAACGTCGCGAAATGTCGGTTGTTTTCTCAAGCTAAAAGTTCCCTCAAAACGCTTTCATTTGTGTTAACACCTTGGGGTCCCATCAAGATTCAAAGGTAAGTGCCACCTTACAAAGCATCATTAATTAAGAGGGCAGTGAAAGGGCTAAAAAAAATTGGAACAGCGATCAGACCTGAATTTTGGCCTTAATTTAAAAGTTTTGTTTTTTATGATGAGGTGACAGCGAAAACAAGCGGCAGATTATTGGGTACAAGGCATTATTATTCCCACATCGGAGAAGGGTTCGTACAGATCTTTGGATCCAAAATTCCAGACTTTTTTCAAAAACAATACTTAAGTTCTTTTTTCCAGATTCAAGGTTATCAAGGTTATTAAAAGACCTAGGAACATACCTTTCCTTATGGTGCGCTGCAAATATGAATGTACACGATTTCACCAAAACGAAAAAAAATTCATATGTAAAGCAGTTGTAGATTTGAAAAAAAAAATCAAAGCTTTTTACCATTTTTCCAGACTTAAGGTGATTCCCTGGTTTTGCACTGCGCATCTCTTACTGCGCATAACAAGATGTCCGCCGTATAAAAGAGCATGTGAAGTAACATTATTAAAATGACGTTGAATGAAGAGAAACGCTATTGGAATTTTTGCTTGCGGTTGTTTCTTGCAGAGGTGAGACTCAAATGTGTTGGGAATGTGCATAACGTAAGCAGTACGCGTGTTGCTGAGTTCGACTTCCTCACGGAGAACCTCGGTAGTGATGTTTGAATTGTGCTTACTCACTTTGATTTTCATTTAAACGCTTCCTTTATCACATTGTGTCCTAAATGTGATATCTCGTGATACTTTCTTCCCCATTTCACATACATTATATTTTGAAACTCGCCCCAGTTCTCTCTCAAAAATCAGAGAAAATGCATTTGGTGCGAACTTTCTGCAGCTCTGCCGCAAAACCGAGTACGGTGACCCCCAGTTTTTATTTCACGGACGGTGAAGGACGGTGCTTCCTTTCGATGAGAAAAAAATTGGCACAAATCTATGTTCAGTTTTTAGGCAATTTTACTAAATTGTACGAATTGAGCTATCACGGGTCGAATAGGGCGTGTCCAATTTAATTCTACTTTGGAGCGTAAAGTAAAAACAAGGGCATTAAAAGGCATTTTTCTGTCACGTAAGTGGATAAACAATACATTCAAATCAAATTCTGTGCGATACCACATGCATCATCGAAAAAATGTCTCCTTTTTGTCTAGTTTTGGGCTGCGCGCGGCTTTTGCCAAAGGGTCCCAAATAGCCGTATTTGTCAGCATTGTGACGTCAAAACAAGCACGGTGACCCCCACTTTTTATACTTATTATCATCTTCTTGACTTGTTACATCAGTGTACCAAGTTTCATCTACAATCTATGTTACGTTCTTTTACTAAGGAATCACCTTAACCTCTATTTTCCAGACTTGTTTCAGGTCTGGATAATTGCTTGGCAATAGCCAAGACAAGACTCTGTAAGAAGCCTGTCAGAGTCCATAGACAAGTTATTTCCAATGGTGGTCGTTATACTACTGATCGCTTACGAGAGGTAGTCGCAAGGTTTGACCGTGAAATTGCCTCTTAAAGGTTATAAACTATCGACGTCCACACAATAACCACGAATTATTTAAAAGCTGTTTAATGACAGTCTTCAAAAGAGAGTGAATTTCTAAGTAAAATTAATATCACAACAAGGTTTAAATACATAAATCAATGATAAACAAGAGCCAGACTATGCATAGTGTTTAAGTCTATGACGTATAAAAACAATAATCAAAACAAAATAAACTCCAGTTCAAATTATTATGCACCTTTTACAGTTGGCGGAAGGAAAGTAAGCACTGCAAAGAAGGTAAAAACAAGGAGCTTGCATCCTTGTTTTTTTCAGTTTCTTTTCTTCCGATAGGTAAGTACAACTGTTATTAAAAGATTATAAAAAATCTACACAGACCACAAAGAGATGCAGTGTACTGATTTTCCTTGTGAATCATGAAACAATGAGCAAGAAAACTAATTCACGAAAATAAAAAAGAAAACAAACAAATGACAACACTGTGTAGTAGGAGGGAAAAATATAAGAGGCACAATTTACATGCAAGCTCACAATAATATTTCTCCTTTTTTATTGCTGCCAAGAAAAGCAGCTTTTAATGCTTAGTCCTGTACATCCCTAAAATTCATTTCCGAAAAATAATAAAGCAAACAAAGTACATCTTTCTTACTAAAATTAACCTGTTCCCAACATGCCAGGCATACGGAAAAAACTACAGACAACACGAAAATGTAACTATACAAACTTCTAATCAAAACCAAGTTGTTCAAAGGATGATTAGCACAAAAAATACAGAGCTAGCTACTATAAAAATGCACGGGCTACAGTTTATTCGGGAATTTGGAAAGCAACTATAACAGTCTGCTGAATTGAACTACCAGATCTGACCAACAATGCTCAGAAAGTTAGACAAGTTGTCCACTGATATAACTACTGTTTACCCCCGATTGACAACTCCCCATACTACCTAAAAATTAAAACAAAAAGATCAACAGCAAAGTTGTGCTGATTTTTCTAGGTACAAACTCTGCAATCTTCTAATACCCAGTGCCCCCATAACCACCGAATCCTGTTTGCTGCTGTGGCTGTTGATAGCCAGCGTAATAGCTCTGGTAGTTCTGGTATTGAGGCTGTTGCTGACCCTGCTGTGCTGTTTGGCCATATGCTTGTTGTTGATAGCCTGTTTGTTGGTAACCTGTGGCTGCCTGGTATCCCTGGTTGTAGCTGTAGTATTGGTTGTATGCCCCAGTACCATACTGTTGCTGTTGCTGCTGTTGGTTGTAATTTGACTGAAATCCTGTTTGTTGGTGCTGATTGTAGCTGTGCTGGTTGTAGTTCTGTTGGTTACGTGGCTTGTGCTGTTGATATGACTGATTTTGGCGGTACGAAGATTGATGCTGACGATAACCACCACTGCCACCATAGCCTCCACCACCATAACCCCCTAAGGAAAAAAAGAAAAACTTGTGTTGATACCAATTACCACAAATTCTCTATTTAACACTCCAGTCACTTTTGCAAATTTACATGGGCAAACTGCTATGGTCAGTACATGGTTTGGTAAAATAATGATAAACAAAAATTAGGACTGGTTAATTTTTCTTGCACAAGCTTGGTGTCAAGGATATTTTTGAAAAAATTAACAGAAAACAAAATAATTTCAAATTTCAAATTTGGAACATTCCACAGGGGAAAACAGCACTATTATTCACTAGAACAACTCAAAAGGCAGTGTTTCATTTACTTTTCCAACCAATTACCTTTCCAGCAAATGATACCAAAACGGTCACTATAATGTCTTATTCTCTAACATGTTCTAAATCAGGTTTCATAGAGATGTTGGATATAAAATTCAAGACTGTCTTCTTCTTTTTTCCAATACAAGAATCCATTATGTTTTCCAGGCTGAAAAGTTATCAGAAAGAGATCCAGAGAAACCTTAACAAAAGCAGAAACCAAGCTTTTCCTATAACACACTCTAAATGTACATGTACAGTAACCAAATGGCCACCAGGAAAAAATATATATATATAAATGTTCACTTAGCGCTTGCTGCAGTTCTAAAAACTGTTATGTTTTAGTGCGTGTTTTGTTTAGTATTTTTCTTGTGATTATAGGGACAATTGGGAGGAAGAACATGAAGGCTCCGCCTTGCTTACAAATAGACCAAAACAAGATTGGCCATACTACTCATTGCAGAATTACATGTATTATACCTCTTCCTCCACCTCGATGATCTCGTCGATCATGATATCCTCCTCCACGACCACCACGGTAGCCACCTCCTCCTCCTCCATGATATGGACGGCCACCACCAAACCGTTGGTAGGACCCACCGCCGCCGCCGCCGCCTCCTCCACCTCGTCTGTATCCACCATGATCACCATAACTTCTGTCCCTGGAGTAACCTCCATGGCGTGGAGACCTGTCTTCAAATCTTGAGCGTTTGAAAGGGGGTTCAGAGCCTGAACCTGAGCGACTTCTGTAGCTGCGACCTTCTTTGATGTATTCATCAACAATGGTTTTAGCTTTGCTCTCAGGCTGGTCAGCATAGACAACTTCATCAAAGAATTCTCCAACTTTGGGAAGGGTAAAACTCACTGGAATAAAAGGGTTTAAACTCAAACAAGTGCTACAATTACAATAAATAAGAAAATAATAATAATAATAAAAAACATGCATAAGTGAAATTCAAACTGATAAGATTAAAGGTTTGTAGATCACACTATGGGTAATTAACAAAGACAATATCTCCATTCATTGCAACATAATAATTTATTGATACACTACTCTAATAGGCTAGATTTCTTCCAGTTGAATATGTAATAATATATATATATATTTTTATCAGCATTGGGAATTACTACATGTTTAACACACCCAAAACAATGTGAGAAACATCATACTTTTCATGTCACTGACAGCATTTTCAGGCAGTTCAATGCCTTCTTTCTTTCTATCCTCTGTTCTTTTTCTAAGTTCCTCTTGAGTGGGAATGCATACGATTGCTTTTCTGCTGAATCCTTCAAAGGGACGAATCTTCTTTTTTTGAGCAGAGAGGTACACATTGGTCTAAAACAAACATTCAAACAGTTTCAAAGGGTTATCAAAAACTAATTGCCTTGATCGGTCTTTATAACAATAGAATTGGTAAGCCTGTTACCATGAATGTGGCCCCCGGCTACTTTCTTAGGAAAATAGAAGAAACATAGCACTAAAAGAAATCCCTAGCTGTTTTATTCCCTGCCTCCTTGTTTTATTTACCCGCCAACTTGAAATCTTAGTGACATCCCTTCCCTGGGTCCCAGCTCATTAACAAGCCATTGTTTTTTAAAATTTTATTTTGTGATGGGGTAAGAATACAAAAAACAATATTGTTTCTCAGAGGCGGAACATTAGAAAAGTTATGGCTGGGGTGGGGGTGTTTCGACCAGCATAAATATTTTTTGTTAAAATTTTCCTTAATCCTTGGTTAATTTTCCCTTGCATTAATATTATTTTTTTGGTAGCCATAAACATGTACTTTGCCTGCCCTCCCGTCCCTCCCCCCTCTTAATTATTCTGAGGGTCTATCCTTAATTAATAAAACAGCTTCAATATTTAATTCCAATATTTCTATGACATCACTTTTAAGGTTGAAAAACAGTTAATCACCATCAAAAAGGAATAAAAAGTTGTCATTTTGAGGAAATTGACGTTTTCAGAGATGCTACACTACTGTACATGGCTGCGTGTTAATGAAAAATACAGTGTAGAGAGTACAACGCAAATTTATTGTGTTTTAAGACTTGCATCAAAATGTTATACTTAAAAAGTTGCATCAGGGCTGCCACTAAGATTTTAAGTCTCTGGGTAAATACAACAAGAAGGTTTGGCATTTCCAGGATAAGGTAGGTATTTCCTTTGGTTCTATCTTTGTTTCATCTTCTTAATGAAAGTAGCTCAGGCCAACTTCATAGTAGTCAGAGGAAATCCCCGGCCCTCAGCTCTTAATGACAGCTTTAGCATTATTCTAAGCAAGGTGAGTCTGTGAGTTGCTATTTACCTGATACACATTATAAGTTACTGACAAAATAAATGAGGAATACACAGTGAATATATTTTACCTGGTCCAGAATGTAGTTTCTCTTCTTAGTGGGAGCAAGTTCAAATAATCGGTGTAAGCATTTTGCAGCCTTGTCCATCAGCTTACTATATCCACCTACATCTCTCTTCCTAGCCACTCCCAGGATCTAAAAACAATGGCGGTAAATACAATACAATACAATTACGGCAGAATCTTGATTTACATGTATCAAAGCCTTGGTTTCATGATACTCCTCATAACTGGAACAGCCGATCAAACACTGTTATTCAACCTTCAAAATAATTGACAAACCTTCTAAAAATCTGAACAATTTCCTTTTTCCTACAATTAATCTTCTGTTCAGAGTAACATTGACTGGACTTTTTTTCTGAATGTTCTATTTCATTGTCAAATATCAATAATGAACCACTTTATTCTCTAAGAAATCAGTCAATTGTTCTGAAAAAGTCCAAAACAGTTGTTTAAGTACATATGGAAGCACTGAGAAGAAAGGCCATTCTCATGTTAACAATGAATGAATGAACTTTCTCTAAGTTTTAGAGTATTTAGCTATGTGTTAGCTAATTGTGGACACTAAAAGAACATTCCAAATACAAAATAAAAAAAAAAAAGATTGATTAATTAAAACAAGGATGCTACAAGTGATAAAAATCTATTTTAAAATTTATAATCATTTTAAAAACAGAGAAGTTTCATAATGAAAATCTATTCAAGAAAAATTTAATTTCGCTTAGTTCTAAGAAGAACTGATATTTAGAATATTCATGAAATTTATAATTATTTAGTTTAAAAGTGATAAAATTCCATTGCAAACGTGGTTAAGTGATACATAAGTTACAATAAATTGGTGCACGTGCTCTCAATAAAAGACGTCAAGTCTTTCTTTCTGATGTTCCGTCTAAACCTGATGTTCGGTCTAAAATTGTTCTGTCTAAAATTGTCCCAACATACAGTACCTTCATCTTTTCCAGGATTGAGTTGGTACCAAGGACATTGTACTTCTTGTCTGGATTATCGCTCACTTGCTTGTTGACCCATGTTGTCTTTCCTGAACCAGGTAATCCAACCATCATAATAACCTGAATTTTTTTTTGTAAACAGATAAGTAACAAAAAGATGAATACAATATTATTAAATTGTTTTTCTTTACAGGCCTCAAAACTGCAATAACAGAATAACTGACAGCGTGCAAAGAAAGTAGGTGTCCAATAGCCCGGGGCTAGTGGATTTTGCTATCTTGCTGGTGAACTCTGTTTTAAACTTGCCCGATGGGCAAGTGATGTTTTTTGAGGAATTCGAATAAAATTACAGAAGAACTGTGAAATCAATTCTGTGAGTCAAAAGCTTTTGGGGCTACTTGAAATGACGTCTAGGCTAGTAAATGCTAGCTTCAGCTTGCCCGAATGGTAAGCTGTAAAAATGATCTTCTTTGTATCCTGTCTGAACTCCAAGAGACAAACAAAAAACTGAATGTAGAGAAAGGCCTCTTGGCTACAACTTCCAGTTTCCAGTTTCTGAGATAATAGCCTCTCACCTCACATTCCTTTTTAGTTGCTGGTCCTCTTGTGCCATGGATCAATGACTCTTCACTAAAAGACTGGATAAAAGTATAGCCTTCCTTTGGAGGAAACCATGGCTCTTCCTTAAAAAAAAAATTAAAAAATGTGGTCAAAGACTTATCTTTTTAAGGATACATTTGATTTTTAATTTTATCATTGGCATGAACAGTACTTGAATTATTGTAGCTTTTTAACCTGATTAAGAGTAGTTATTGTATTGTACCATGTATTAATGGAGTATGGAAGTCTATAAATGCATTTTTTGTTTTTATTTTTTTAAAAAGACTGAGACATAACGTAATTGTTTGAGATTATGATATATGATTACCTGAGATCCAAAATTGACACTGAACTCAGCATTTTTTACAAGCACATGAGGATAAAGTGCTTTTCCTTCCAAATCTTCTGTTAACTCAAATGCTGCCCCAAGGTCTTCCCCATTCTTGCTGAACGAAACAGTCTTTGGATCACTCTCCAAATCCTGGACAAAAAATTTTACTTATCAGTTAAGAGGCTTCTTAGGGGCTTTATGTATGTCCCTTGCCTAAAATTAATTTCAAAGCCTCTCATTTCGCATATTGAGGAGGAAGCCATGTTGCTGTTGGTATTTCACTTGCACTTTTCTCTGTCTCTGTCGTGGTTTCAACCCATCTTTGTCTCTTTTGTTGCCATTTCTACTGCCTTACGTCCCTGCTTCAAGGCCATGTTGCTTGGTCAAAATTTATCCCAACAGGGCCTCAGTTAAATCAATTGGTGAAATGAATGGCATTATTTTGAGGGGAATGCACTTCATAGCTGAGGACAGTGCTTTGAGGTTTCTTGAGATGCTGTCCCATTGAAAAAAGGGTAAATGTATGCTAAAGAGCGATGACATTAATTCGAAAAAGATGTTGACAAAAAAGTCAAGAAATATTTGAAACAATCTTCCTCTGTCTACCAGTAAAAGGAGTCCTTCGTGATTGGCCAAGAATAACTTTATTATATACAACATAGTCCTTCCAAAATAGAAAATTATTTGAAGCCTTGGAATCATTGATTGGTATTTTAACAGCACACCACTTACATTTTAACATTTTCTAATAACTTGTTGCTTACTGTTTGATTCCAAGACCTTGAGCATGAGTGGGACTTTATTACTGTTCAAGCACTTACCAAGTAACACCCAACAACATCATCAACACCAAATGACTGTCCATATTCTGAAAACTCTGAATCTAAAGCTTTCTTTCCAGATGAATCAAAACCGTAAGAATTCTTGATTTCCCCTGAAGAAGAGACAGGGTAGCAAAAGAGTAACAAGGTTCAAATTATCTTGCAAGAAACAGTAAATAGAAACATTGTGAGGAGCATAATTTTATGTAGTTCTTTTCTAACATGTTCATCAGTGAAATAATAATGGTAAAAGAGCAAGCGAGGACCCTATTGCCCCTGGTGTTTGCTGTCACATCAAATGCAGCCCCTCCATGTAGTGTTTGTAGAATCAAATCAAAATGACATAGGCTTAAAAATTGCCTTCAAATACAAAGTAAAACAAATTGTACATAAACTTCCAACCATAAAGCTGCCCAATCAACTTTGGCAGAATCAGATTGACCAGCCCCAAAACCCTAACTTATTTTCTTTGGGTCCTCTGATTCAGGAAGGTCCACAGAATCAAATGATGTCACCTTGATTGGAAACAAAGAGACCAATAATACATTATCTTGACTGTCACTAATATATTAATGCATAGTTTAATCATTTTTTATTGCATATTCCTTGACTAAAAAAAATACTGATTTCTCTATAAAATAAAAATTTCAGACCCATTTCATTTCAGTTCATAACCTGCAATTTACATACTTAAACATAGTTCTCATGGAATCCTTGTTTTATAAGTCCAAACTCCAGCACCCGACAACAAAAATGTGAACGTTATGACATACAAACTACAGAAGGCCTCGTTAGAGAAGAGGACTGGATGGATCAACTTTTTGGATGAGAATCTATTGCGTACAATTTTAAAGTTACCTGACCAACGCATGATTGCATTCACTTAGGAGACGTGACCTTTAACATGAAGTACCAACAACAGTACTATAAAGGTTCAAGTGGAAAATTTGGTGTTTATGATAGGTGGGTGCACATGGAGGTTTCACTGAGCTTCCAGGTACATGGACCATCATCTGTTACCAGTCATACACAGTGAGAATTGAACCAAAGATAAAATTTAACTGCAGGGCAAACATTGCTAATAGATTCATACCCCAAGCAAAATAAATTAAAATAGTAATTTAACTTCTAGTTGAATAGTTCTTTTGTAAAAATCATCAGATGGTACAAAGTAGCCATGCTGCAGACCAAACAATGCAATGGGTGAAGAAATAGAAAGGGGCCACATTAATTTACAATGATTATTACTTCTTTTATTCTCTCTTCAAGATCCCACTGCAACTGATTGCCCTTTGTACCAAAAAAACAAATTCAAACAATGATGGCAAATCCAAACCACTACCTACAGATTTCCAGATTGTAACATTATGCCTACCTTGCATTCAAAGCAGATTTTTCCTTTTGTGGCACCCCAGGTAGCTCTAGCACCAGCAAGAAGGTACGAGAATCCTTCATCAGGCAACAGCTTTCCACTCAGACCATCTGGGGCAACTTTCAGATGGAGGTCACAGTTGTCTGGAAGTAAATTCAAGCACCAGAATGAGAAAGGAATATTGCTCTAGATAGCATTCCTGATCTAACAGGACACACACACATCACAGTAGGCGTTTAAATAAGCAATCGACTGTCATTTTTTCTGAGTGCTCCTTTGCAACCTTATTCCTACAAGAATACGGACAGTACATATTGTATGTACTCGCTGTCTCTTCCACTTACATTTGTCCAAGACGACTAATGAGTCGTCAAGCTGGGTCTCCTCTTCCCCGTGTTCAACTCTACTGAAGGAAAAAACGAAATGTTGTATTCTCAGATGTGTTCCTCAGAGCCGCCTGCATCTAGCAGACGCCGACTTTCACCTGCTTGTCAATCAAACTGCCACTCAAACTCCTGGTGGTGATATAAGATAGTCATTCCAGTGGTCAGTTAATATGTTCCTATACGCTAATGTTGCTCCCAGGGCAAGGAAACCCTTACTAGAGTACTTAAGGTAGGCAATTCAAGTGACAACTAATATTGCCTTGTAAACCATTACCTGGAATCAGCATTTATCTCTACATCATCGTCATCTGCATCTTTGTCCGCCTTGTCCGTCTTTTCTCCTGAAAAAATATAAATGCATACCATTAAAAAGAGCTCTCAAGAAAATTTAATAATAATTAACAAAACTGCACACCACCAGTGAATTAGCCTTAAAATGGTAAGTTAAGCTTTAAGTTTTGTTTTACGTCATTAAAATAATAGCATTTTCCATCTTTGCCAGCATAAAGCTTCATTCAGTAACATAGGGAGAGATATTAAAAGGTGGTCCACCACAAGTCAATGTACATGTACAAGGCTGTGCGTAATTTATCTTTGAATCTCATCCTTTAAACTCTTCCCACTTGCACCAGTCTTGTTATTACTGTACCATGTAATCTCCTTGCACAAGTACTGATATAAGTTTCGATCCATGACTCTTTGATATTGCTTGGTTCTCTACGGGAATATTTAACAGATTTATCAAGGTTGTGAAACTTTTCAGCAATCCATGGCATAAACAACCACATCTAGTTCAGAATCGAGCTCAACTCGAATCAGGTCTATACATCTTTGTTATGTTCTCCACTGAATGCACTAGCACTGCTAGGCAAATCTGTTACAAGGCAGCTCTGCAAATGCTGCTTTTCGTTAATTGCTGGGAAAGAAAGACTGTCTTTCCCCGTTCGTAAAATTGACACGAACTGGAGTGACTAACCGCTACCTTAAACACCAAACGGCTTGTAACACAACAGTCCCGCATGTCATGTGACCAGCTCTGAAGAAGGGCGGTCCCTACAATTTTGAACAAAGTTGGCGCAACACTGGTGAAAACATAGAAAACAAGAAATACATAACATACAGCTGTACAAAGATGAGGTGCTGCACCAGGAATATTGTAATCTTTATAACTTGAAATTTTGTAGCAGCTCAAGAGATTCTTACAGTTGTTTTTCCAAACTGTGCAAAGTACATGATATGTACAGTTCTCAGTTTCATTTGTACAGCTGGCTTCCTGGTCACCATGATTTTTTCTCTCCTTGGCTTATTATTCATCAAAACCAACTTGAAAACATGTTCCCACAAGAA